TCTCTTTTTTGGCACATCGCATCTTCAATTTCTCTATAGTTTATGGATGGAGTGGGGGTCGTCGTGGAATGTTGAAATAGGCTTGGAAAAATAAAACGATGCCACCGAAAAGAACAATAATTCGCAGCATCGATGATTAGCAATGCGATCGAGTGGTTGAAAGAGAAATTCCAACTTCCCGAAACCGCCGGTATTAGTCCCGTTCCGCATACAGCATTATGGCGACATCGCGATCATTGAGACGTTTCGTTATTCGGCCCTTTCTGCACCCGACCATATTGTGCACGGACCGACTCGGTGAGTGATCAGGCGAGCGGATATCAAATCGAGATGAGACGAACCCCTTCCGTCCCGGCCTGATGTGCCGAGACGGTTATCGCTCTCGTACGTCGGAAACCCTTTTTTTTCACTTTGCTCTAGTGTGGCTGGTGGCAGGTGCCGGTGGAGATTTATTAAGAAAAAGGGTATCATATCTTGATTCGAATAATTTCATTCCGACCAAAAAAAAAATTAAGAATAAATCTAATCTTTAATTAATGAGATAATCTTTTCTTCTTTTTTTAAATTGCATGGGAATCGAAGACATGCCCCCCTCCACTCCATTCGACATTGGATTCTCTCCAGCGAGGACCACTCGGGAAATATTCCGATGAATGATTGTTGGCCTACCTTGTTGAAAACTGCATGCCATGTATATATAAAAATAATAATAATAATTACGGCAATAATTATTAATAAAGCTAAAAAGAGAGAAAAAAATCGGACTATTTTAAAAAAAAATTGGTACTTTTGATGTTCGTATCCGGCGGCCTCCAGCAACCAGCCAGCTTTTTCCTGCCCTTTCAATCCTTTGCGCATCGCGGGACCCCGATGACGTCACTGATGGTAGAGCCCCCACGTTAAGTTTTTGGACAATTTCATATGATTGTGCCAGCTTTTTCTCCTCGGCCCTTTTGGCCCCTTTTTCACTTGGGGTTGATTCAGTAGTTTATTTGGATTTTCTGTGTGTTTTTCACCTTCATTTTTCTCCTCTTTTTGCTTTTCAAGGCGCCGGGTTCGTGTCGGCATCGCGCTTTACAACCCGTGTCGATTCCCAATGGCCGGAGACGTCCTAATTTCGATCTTACATGTCGGATGATCGAGGGTGAAAACGCTTTAGCTCGCGTCGTTTCGTGTCAATATATGAAATTAGGGTTGTCGTTTCGTGTTTGAATTCTTCTCTTTTTTTATTTTTGGTTCTTGAGCTTGAGTTCTAGTGCCGTACCTTGAGAAAGGAGATCCAAAGTAGATCAAACCCGTGAGTATTGAAATTTGAGAAAGATGTTAGCTCGGTTTAACACAAAAAAAAGTCCTTAATTGATGGTTGCATCTAAGCTAGGGATTACGGTAGGTTGCACGAGTCATTGCTAGCAAGTGAGCCGCATAAAGCAACACTATATTATCCTTCTATTATTCTATTACGTTAGGCACCGCGACCGCACCAACGTGGTTTTCTTCGTTTGTTTAAGCCCTGGTGGTCGATACGATGATCTCAATTACTCGCAATCAGATTTCATGAGTGATGCTTATGCCTCTTTTTTTCTTTATGAATCTGCTTATTTAGACACGATATATTATCTCCAGTACTTTGCTCTTTATTTTTCTTTGAACGAGAAAGAAACGCGAATTAAGAAAGGCGGTCGCGACCCACAAAAATCTCATGGACCTTGACTCTATCGAGGGTAATCTCGACTTGACTACGAGTATGTGGTGCTACTTTGAATCGAGGTCTCTCGGCCAAGCCCTATTAAGGGTTCCCTCAACCCGCTAGTGGTGGGTGGTATTAATAGACTCGAATCGAGCTCTTCTGGCGGAGAGATAGGCTAGTGCCCTCTTCCCTCCACGAGATTAACACTACCAAATTAAACGCTATTACGCCCGATACCACAAAGGCAAGCTAGTTTTGAGGTTCCAATAAATAGATCAAACGAAAGGGAGGCAAAGCATAAGATAAACAAAAGTATCACTTAGACCCGAAGCATCGATGCTGTCGAACTTGATCATGAGTTCAGCGGTCCACGATCTGCCCCTACTCGAAGACATTCTTGGGTGGATTTGGGCAAGGGCGTCAATGAGGAAAATCACCTAATCTTGAAGATTTGTATATAAATATTTTTATGTCGAGCTGGGCCAAAAACTTGAGTCAGGTCTAGGCTCACTCCATTATCACTTATAATAGTTGCGGAAAAAAAACTTTCACCCGCAAGGAAATTGCACATGTCATGTGAAGCCATCTATGGTGGCTCGGGAGACAAAACGACAGTCGTCGTTGTAAATTCTCGTGCACAGCGTTCTCCCTTACGAATGCACACGGAATAAATTTTCCGTAAGTGAAAATCTATCTGCCAATAAATGGAGTCAAATGGTAGTGACATTTCATCATAAAATTCAATGCGGAATCGATTGAGGTAAATAATGTCACGTCGGCAATGTAGATGACCGTGTACCAAAACTGACTGTTGGAGCGGCGCCGGCGATGATTAGCCGCTCGATTCAACTTCCCCAAAGATTCGGCGGTCATGATGAGGCATGAGTGCTCCCGAGTCAAGGAATCCGCGCCGTACAAAATTTCATGATATTCGCCAACATCGACGGCGGGTTTTCACTAGCCCCAGAAAAAAAGGGTCAAAATCTCCCTACGCGTCGCCGGTTCTCCAACGGCTCCGCCAAATCACATCACGTGGAAAGAGGAGGAAGAAAGAAGAAGAAGAACAAAAACTTTCGAACAGTTTTAAGTGAGAAATCCTGACCAAAAGGGCAGAAAAAGTTGCGGGTAAAAGTGGGGGCTTCGCACGGTGGACCTCCCGAGCCCTCCTGTGCAATTCATGGTTTTGTTGGGGGCTCGTAAGTTTCGAGAAGAATTTGTCATTTGGTCCCTCCCTTGAGCAGAAATATTATTTTGGGCAACTTTTGCATTATCATTACGATTTGTCACCCTTTGTTTGCTAAACCAATCCTCATGTACCCAAGAGCAAGAGGCTAGCACTACAACAATGTAAAAAGGACATCCTCGACTTCTGCAGTGGTTTTTACCCCCGCGACGGTTGCTCACCCGACTCTCACTCTCTCTCTCTCAATGGTACCGCTTAGTGTGTTTGTTATTACATGAAAATGCTCCGGACATATCGTTTCTTTTTCTTTCTTTTTTTTTTTAATTAGAGCGAGTGGAAACGTGTCAAGTCGTGTCAGTTTCGAATTAGCCGCATCCTTATCGAATTAGATCAGATCCCGCTTTTCTTTCGGCAAATTTGAGTCGAGTTCGCATCCCCGGTTCTTGCGCCATGTCGAGAATCGGCCGCTCCGCCCATGCCGATTCCTACGAACATTTTGTTCCAGTGTTCTCTAATGTCTAGTATAGTTGATCACATAGCCGGTTGTTAGATCAAGCATGGATTTTTGGGGTTTGGGTTGGATTTGGCAGACTTTTGAAGACATGGGCTTGGGCCATATTTGCTAAAGAAAGGGTTGGTCTAGGTGATTTCGTGGAGGCCCAATTGAGGGAAATTTAATTCCGCCGAAAGCGAAGGACCTCCATGCTAGGGTCTGTTTTCCAATTTTCGCCCCCCCAAGAAAGCTTACCTTTTTCAATTGGACCCCAAAATGAGCTCATTGCACAAGCATTTGTTGTTTGATGGCGCGCCACATTCTTGGATAGGTTTGGTGGGACGGATCCGGTGTATCATTAAAGAATGACAACTCCGCGTTCCAACTAACCGGAGTTGGCTCCACAAGAGGGTGTCTATATGACCCTTTTTTCTTAGATAAACAAAGAATTTATTTACCAAACTTATAAATATTGCCCGTGTTTATAATTCACATCCCAATCTTAACTATAGTACTTTCTTTATCGAATTTCAATCATTCTCTAAGAAGGATCGGCGAAAAAGAAGGTGGGTATTGACATTAAGAAGCTTTCCTTTACAAATGCGGCCCGATCAATAACCATTTCAAGAAATTGTACATACCATAGAAAAGCTTCGATAACCAATGAAAATCACTAGGGGACGAGGATTCGGGCCAAATTGAGCCGGGATTTGAAAGTATCGGAAGCAACGTTACACAAGGTAAATTTCACGAGCAAATTGATATAGGGGGCAAAGAGCAAATTTCCCAGGACAAATTGGCCCAAAAATTGAAATCACAAGAAATCTAGGGGCCAGCAACGTAGTTTGCGCAAAATTAAATCATGGTTTTGCCAACAATTAAAGCAAAGCGACGTAGTTAACCATCAGCACCTACTAATCTCTCTCTCTCTCTCTCTCTCTCTCTCTCTGTAGCTGGCTGTCTGATCTTCCCACGGAAGCGGCAGAGCAGAACAACCTGGAACAGCTGCGAAATCATTGATCTCTTTGGGTCACTTGCCCGACCTCTGTTTCAGCGGCAAGTCTTGTCTCGAGCTCGGCTTGTCGGTTGGAGTTGGTGCTTTTGAATTCCGTCGTGCCCACCGAGCATTCTTCCCGGCGCGTGTGTTTCGTTTCGTTTTCCTAACGAAGGTTTCCCCTTTACATACTCGAAATTTTTGTTTGCTGTAGGACTCCTTCGGGCTTCTGTTGGAGCATTTGATATTAGAATCTCAGTCCTTGTTTTCCTGTCAAGTACCCGTTAAGGCGTAACTTCGCATCTTGATGGAGTCATTAGATCTATCTGTCGTCACTGAGCGGTCGGAGCTCCTTGTGTTTTGGATGTAAAGTTTGCGAATTTAGTGTATTGCTTTGGTGGGTTTTCGTTTTGATTGCCCCTTGAGCCTTGGCTTGACTGCTGCTTGTTGTTTCCTTTTTCTTTTGTTTTGGCCAAATAGCTTGACAGTTGCTCATGTCCTTGAAGACCCCTCCTTTGATTGTGCTATGATGCTCTTTCCTGTGGTTACCATCTGTTTGGAAGGTCAATGGGCATTCCTCTAATTCTTGATTTTCAAGGGCTACTAAGGTAATCGGGCGTTCTTCATATATACCCACAAGAGTATGAGGAAAACTCAGCATTCTCACGCTGCAAAAGCATTTTCTGATCGGCGATGGATAATTCCATTCTTTGCCAGCTTGCTTGTATTTGCTACTTTGATCATGTCAGCTACTGTTGGGCTGTTTACACAGCCTTATAATGAAGATGAGTTGCCAGATGATATTATCTCATTTAATACGTCGGAGGATTCAAGCAGTCTGTTTGTAGAGTCTGATTTACGGAGATCTCATTATCCGAACAGACATGCGAGTGTTGAAGCACCTAGACTAGCCTATCTTATTTCCGGCACCAAGGGTGATAGCCATAGAATGATGAGAACCTTGCAGGCCGTATATCATCCGAGAAACCAATACATCCTCCATTTGGACTTTGAGGCTCCACCCCGTGAACGTTTGGATTTGACTGCACTGGTTAAAAATGATCCTACATTTCGTGAGGTGGAGAATGTCCGAGTAATGGCACTGTCTAACTTGATCACCTACAAAGGACCTACCATGATTGCTTGTACACTGCAAGCTATTGCCATATTGTTAAAGGAGAGCTTGGAGTGGGATTGGTTTATCAATCTCAGTGCTTCAGATTATCCTTTGGTAACGCAGGATGGTGAGTTGTGTTTCCAAGTACTGAGAATAAATATTTTCAAACGCTGAGCGCATGGGACTGAATTGTTTTGTTATCTGTGGTTAATCTATCTTTTTGATTTTTTCTGCACTCTTTTCTAGAGCTTCTCTCTGCACTATGTGTTTGTCTGGTTGGTTAAGTTAGGTTAGATATGCATGGTCAGTTTAAAATACATACAAAGAGTGATGGATAAATGGGCATTCCTCAAAGAACAGAACCTGTGTTCTTATGTCGAGGCTAGGTCATAGCTTTGCTGTAGCATAAAGATGACGAGAGAATGTGTGAAAAGAATCTCCTTGCCTTTGTGCAATCTGTTTTTCGGGCACGAGAGGTACCCTTACTTGCTTTGGGGACCCTGTGCTTATTGCAGTTGTGCCTGAGTTTATTAAGCAGCAAACGCTTGCTAGACCTTTTTGTTTTGGGGAATGAAAATCAGGATAACATCTGTTCACCAATTCTGCAGATCTGCTTTACGTGTTCTCCAACGTCTCTAGAAGTCTTAATTTCATTGAACATGACCAGATTTCTGGATGGAAATTGTAAGTAGCAATGCATGGCGTGCTCTGTAAAAGATTTTCCTTTCTTAATAGGACATCATTTAATTTTTTTGGTCTTCAACGTTTGTCAGGAAACACAGATCTAAATCAATCATCATCGATCCAGGTTTGTACCTGTCAAAGAAGTATGAAGTAACTTGGAGCACTCAACGTCGATCAATTCCAACATCTTTTAAGTTGTTTACTGGTAAGATATCTAATAAATCACCGCACTTCAAAAAGTAACCACCTAGTATTGTTTATTGATTGGACCTTGAGTTATGTTTTGCCGAATCCATAAGGAATCAAAAAGTTTCTTAAACAATCAAGGTCTGTTGCAAATCTTCTTTCACACTTTATTATCCGGTAAGTCTCTTGATTGCATGATTGCGAGGACTTTGAAATTCTTGGCTCGAGGCAAAAGATTGTCCTCATAGACTCTGCATTTTCTAATACTTTAACAATTATCACGCTGCTTATTGACATATTTAATAGCCAATTAGCTGACTTGACCTTAAGTGTTACCTGTGGACGGATGATCATTAGTCTCTTCTTATGGAACCAGTTCCGTTTCCTTCCAATTGCCTCATTGAAGAACTGCTGCCAATGGTTCGCCTGTCATCCTTTTTACTTAATTGGCCAAATTGGTGAACTGCTTTAGGTTATTTTGAATTCCTTAAGTATCTGTCACACTTAGTGAAGCATTTATGTTGACTTCTAACTCCATTGTCCAGCAACCACAGGAGGTGCCCTCACCTTATTTGTGTCTCACAGTTAATAAGCCAAGAGCTAGGTGTGATATGCTTATGAGCTTAAGAAGGAATTTTGCAGCAGATGATTTTATTGATCTCATCGAGCCTCTCTTTTTTTGCCAATCATCGCATCAAGCCTTTATTTACCATTTTTTTTCTTTGTTCATCTTACAGGATCAGCATGGGTAATGTTAACTCGCCCTTTTCTCGAGTATTGCATATGGGGGTGGGACAATTTCCCTCGGACAATTCTAATGTACTATGTCAACTTTATATCGTCCCCAGAAGGCTATTTCCACACTGTTATTTGCAACAATGAAGAGTACCGTAAAACTGCTATTGGCCACGACCTACACTACATTGCATGGGATAACCCTCCAAAGCAGCATCCTCGCTCATTGTCTGTGAAGGATTTTGACACAATGCTCAAAAGTAATGCCCCCTTTGCTCGGAAGTTTGAAAAGGATGATCCTGTCTTAGATAAGATTGACAAAGAGCTTCTTGGCCGAACAGGCCATTTTGTACCCGGGGCATGGTGTAATGGGACCTCGGATGGTGGGCCCGATCCATGCTCTGTGAGGGGCGATGATTCTGTATTTAGGCCAGGACCGGGCGTTGACAGATTGCAGCAGCTGCTTCGGGGCCTGTTATCTGAAGAATTTCGGAGCAAACAATGCTCTTGAAGTGTGATTGGGAAAGTCATTACCTCATTTGTACATTGGTGTATATTCATATAGGTCGTACAGCGATGTAAAACTGAAAATTTTGTCTGATGAAATGAGATTATTTTGTCACATTGAGTCTCGGAAAGATTACATAGTACTCCACCTGAGCTGATGATGTGCATTGCTTTTCCACTGGGTATTTGAAGGTGGTATAACGATCGATTTCATCCATGATTCTTTGACTTATGTGCCTAAACTAGTTCGAGAGAAGAGACTCCTAATGGCAAGTATCCAGCTGAATCAACCCGAAAGATCAAGGCGCACAAGCGGGCGCAACCCAGTAGAACCGTAAGCTCCTTGCCCATCTTTGAAGCACGTCTCGGGGGCTGCTCGTTGGGTGTCTTCCATTGTCTTGATTAGCCAACAATCTTTTCTATCGTTACCGATACAGCAAACTTGCGGGGCTAATTCTCCTGCAAGGAGGGGTACCAAACGTTAGGACGGTGGAATGGAAATTGAGGCTTCCGAAGCCTCAAAATCTCACCAACTCAAGGTCTATACGTAAAGCGCTAGAATTCACATGGACTTTCTTCATGCTTTTCAACTCATTTATACATGACATTGGCCTAAAAAGGAAACTCATTTACTACTCACAAGACAACACTCCTCCAACTCCAAGGTTTTTACTCTCTGTCACGGACTCGAGGAGACCTGGTCAATGGTCGGTCGGGACGGGTCGGTGTCTTGCGTAGGAAACTTTAGTACAGGTTTGCTTTGCTCGAACCCGTTCAGTCTATGTTTCTGGTCTGGGCGGGACAGCAGGCCATATTCATGTTGCAGGATTACAAACACCACATCTGCATTAAATGCAGTCTCTCTTGACCAAAGCAAATTCAGACATTGCAAGTAACCAATGGCTCCGCTGATCCCGTTTAACTTCAGTTACGAAGCTGTGGTTGGAGCCTTCGACGTGGCCTTCTTTGAACGGGGTGTTCGCCACGTTCAAAGATGACTCGAAGATGTCGAGGTGGCGTCTGCAGGTTCGAGTCAAATGCCCGTTTAGAGTCCGATGCGACGGACATTCAGCTTCCAGGCAAGTACGGTTTCTCGTTGCATCGACTTCAGAATCTGAAATTGTCCCAAAAGACTTATCTATCAATGGAGAGTCATTCGGCAAGATGTTGGACCGGTACCCAGATATCAAAACACTGAAAAGGCTGCATTCGAAGATATTCAGTGATCAAGTCCTACGCGCGGACCCATCTCTTGGCGTCAAACTGATGCGTGCTTACGCTGCTCGCGGCAAACCGGGGACCGCCCGCCACGTATTCGATGAATTGCGTGACAGGAATGTGATTGTCTACAATGTCATGATCAGGAGCCATGTGAACAACCGCCAGTATCGTGATGCGCTGGTGCTTTTCAAAGACATGTTGGGCTGTGGTTATGTTCCCGATAATTATACGTACCCTTGCGTGTTGAAAGCATGCTCTGGGTCCAGTAATAAGGTGGCCGGGCTTCAAATTCATGCTGCGGTGGTGAGAGTTGGGCAGGGCTCATGTTTGTTTGTTGGGAACGGTTTAGTTGCAATGTATGGGAAATGCGGTTGTTTAGTGGAGGCACGTCGAGTTCTTGATGAGATGCCCAGAAGAGATGTAGTTTCATGGAACTCAATGGTTGCCGGTTACGCTCAGAATGGGCAGTTTGACAATGCCTTGAGTGTTTGTAGGGAAATGGAATTCTTAAAGGTAGGATTCAATTCTGGAACAATGGCTAGCCTCTTGCCGGCTGTGAGTAACGCATCGGCCGAAAGTGTTGAGTATGTGGAGAAGATGTTCCTGAAGATGGATAAAAGTAACTTGATCTCTTGGAATGTGATGATTGCTGTCTACGTGAATAACTCGATGCCCACCAGAGCTGTTGAGCTCTTTTCACAGATGGAAGCGCATAAAGTTGAGCCAGATGTCATTACTTTTGCCAGTATACTTCCAGCTTGTGGAGATCTCTCTGCTCTGTCATTGGGAAAGAAAATTCATGAGTGTGTGGAGAGGAAGAAGCTTCGACCAAATTTGTTGTTAGAGAATGCTTTAATTGACATGTATGCTAAGTGTGGTTGTTTGTCTGATGCAAGGCAAGTGTTTGACAAATTAAATGTTCGAGATGTCATCTCATGGACTTCAATGATCTCTGCATATGGCATAAGCGGACTTGGTCGTGATGCAGTGGCTCTTTTTTCGAGAATGCGAAATTCAGGTCTTGATCCAGATTCCATTGCTTTTGTGTCAATTCTGTCCGCTTGCAGTCACACAGGACTGCTGGACGAGGGGCGTCATTACTTTAATGTAATGATCGAGGAGTATGGGATAGAACCACGTCTAGAACACTTCTCTTGCATGGTAGATCTGTTGGGACGTGCTGGGAAAGTAGATGAGGCATATCGTCTCATCCAGAAAATGCCGATGGAGCCTAATGAAAGAGTTTGGGGAGCTCTCTTGGGTGCTTGTCGGGTCTACTCGAACATGAAAATGGGGCTTCTGGCTGCTGATTGTCTCTATCAATTGGTTCCGGAGCAGTCAGGTTATTACGTTCTTTTGTCTAACATCTATGCAAAAGCTGGTAGATGGCAAGATGTAGCAAAGGTTAGATCAACCATGAAGAGTAAAGGAATCAAGAAAGCACCCGGTGTTAGTAATTTTGAGCTTAATAACATAGTCCACACCTTTCTTGCTGGTGACCAATCTCATCCACAGTCCACACGAATCTACGAAGAATTAGACATACTAGTGGGGAAGATGAGAGAGCTCGGCTATGTTCCTGAGACAGATTCAACTCTTCATGATGTGGAGGATGAAGATAAGGATGGTCATCTAGCGGTTCACAGCGAGAAGCTGGCGATTGTGTTTGCTATCCTGAATACTGACCCAGGGACGCCGATTAGAATTACCAAAAATCTTCGTATATGCGGGGATTGCCATACTGCATCCAGGCTAATTTCTAAAATCACACAGCGTGAAATAATCATCAGAGACACCAATAGATTTCACAATTTTGCGAATGGAGTCTGTTCCTGTGGAGATTATTGGTGACAGTCCACATGGGTTCTCTTCCTTGCATCGTCATGGGGTTTTGATTTGAGGAGAAATTTTGGTGGCACGGAAAGAAGATAACGTCCTGACCATATCAAGTGATGATCGTGTCGAAGGTATTTAAGAAGATCCTCTTGAAGATACTGAAGGAGGTCAGTACTTCATTAGTTCAACATTATAATTCGTATGTTTGCAGTGAATGTTAGCCTTCAATAATTCTATTCAGCTCATTTTGCTTTTCTTTTTCTGGTACGGGAAACTAACAAAGCACCGGCAAAATAATCTAAACACCCATGAACAGAGGTGCTTCTGTGGTTTCAGGGTAAGCAATAGGCGCTCCGCAATGTTCGGAAACAGAAGGAAGGGGCAAGCTCACACTTCCTTGCTGGAGGTCGGAATTTTTAATCTAATGGAACGGTTTTCTCCCGTTTGGAAGACGAATTGGCCTTTCTCTAATTCTTGCTGCTCAGAGGCTACTGAGCTAATTGAGGATTCTTCCTGCGAGTCAATGATGAAAATAGCACATTCTCAGGCAGCAAGAGCAAGAGCATAGCTTGCTTCTATTTGCGACTTTGATTGTGTCGGCGACTATTGGGCTGTTTATACTCCCTTGTAATGAAGATGAGTCGCAAAATTCTGTATTCATTCCGTATGTTGAGACCGATTCACAGATAGCATACGAAACAAATGGCCATTCAAGTGAGGAAGCACCTGCATTAGTCCATCTTATGTCTGGTCGCTTATAATCAAATCCACCTGGTTGATCCAAGCAACGACAGACCACTGTTCACGCAGGGAATAATCTCGTGACCTGCCTCAATGAGAATTGTGCTGGGTAAATCAAACTCTCGACCCCCGCCAAGATGGAAATTGCAAAATCACAACCATTTTCCCAACTGGCCTTAGCCTGAGGAATAGTGAAATAAGCTATGATATTAGATTGGTGAAAATTTGACAATGACACACATCATAGTCACATCAGAGATAACATCGTTCACTTATGGACAGCATCGCATTATGTGCGGATTATTCTCAGGAATGTTAACATCAATTAAAACAAAGTCGATTTCCCTGCACAGTCAAAAGAGAAATTTCTGTACTTTTTTTAATCTAGCACGTAGCAGATCAACTTGAGAAAGCGGGGCATGAAAGCAGCATGATCTAAAGATCGGTAAGGCATACATTATGCTTCCTCAAGTCGTAAGATATGTTGCTGAGAGAACTCGACTGCATGAATTTTACCGTAAACCATTTATAAATCAACCATAACTAGCAAAAATTTGCTTTGCCATATAGTGAGCCTCAGTTTTACAATGGGGAGCTTCCAGATCATAGAAGAAAGACCTCTAATGCATGAGCAATAAATCCGACAGAGATCTAGAAACACGAACATGAGAGTTTTGCTTATGGAGGGAAGTCCAGACTCATGTATCTTTTGATTATATCCTCCTGTGAAAAGTCGGTGAAATACCCCTTCCCCACAGACAAACCCTCCTCCCTTGCAAGTCGCTCAACTTCGAGCTGAACATCATTTGCTTTAACTTTACGTGGATCCAACAAATTACATGCTACTTCAATGATACCATCACCGTGAGTGAGCGCCATGGCTTGGACTGAAGGAAGTCCGCCTCCTCTTCCACTTACTCGTTTTGCGATTCTTCGGATAGAGGCAATATCGCTAGAATAGACAGGGACATTGTAGTTATCTACCCATCGAGTTGCTCCGATCACAATGACTCCTTTTCCTTGGGCTGCTCGAGGTGGACCTTCATCTGGCTTCAGGGGCAAGATCTGTGAATTTGGGCTGCCTATCCACAGGTTTCCACTTGCATTAGGTTTGAAATACCCCAACGCTCTTCTGATTGAATCAAGTGTCCTTCCATCTTCATGGGCCGCTCCATACAGAAATGCAGGTACTGCAGGTTTATAAGAGTGTTAGCTCTGAAGCAGGTTAATGAAATTGTGGTCCCTTCAAGTGCGAAGAACTTGTGGTATCTTCAAGTGCTATGGAGTCCAAAGCACTTTCTGATGAACGTGGATATACCGGGGAACACATGGATAGCATGAGATGCCAATGCAAAACATGCCAGACCAAAATCTTTACGATTTGTTGCCTCTAATCAATTATTTTTCGTTTTAGCAAGCCATCAAATGCGAGTACACAAACCTTGAAGACCAGAGCCAATGTCAACTGCCAAGGACCTTGCAATGGCGGCCACTTGGTCCAGAGAAGTCTGACCCAAGGGATGGAAGCAGATATGGTCAACAACCCCAAGCCTAGGATGACTTCCGCTATGCGACTCAAGGTCAATGGCATCAAATGCGGTCTTAACCATTGCTAATACAGCACTTCTTGAGGAACATGAATCTGAGGGTGACTTCTGAGCCAATCTAGAGACAACCGTGTAGCCGACTCTATTGTAGATTTCATCTTCAAACTTGTTGAGCACTGCTGCTTCTGGAAATAGCTTAGCAGCTCGTTCAATCGCCTCAAGTGCAGACCTGTTTCGGCTTTCAGAGATGTATACCTTGCAGCAGGCAAGCATCATTTTTAACATCTTTGGCAGCTTCACTTGCCTTCAAAAGCTGCACAAACAGATATAACCAGATGATAAAACGCCACCACCATGAGCAATCGTGGCCCTCTTTTGTTGGTGACCACATACTTATAATCCACTGCATACTTACAAACTTACTGGAGAAGAGTGCTGTAGCCGAAATAATGAAGGACAAGTTACCGCAAACACTGTAGCCCAAAACGCATCATGTTTACAAATTCAGTTCCTAAATACTAAACATTAAGAGTCTTCACTGGCTTTTCTTCAAACATAGATAGTGCAAGTGCCTCAAATACTTCCTGATTAGCTAAACCCGTCATTCAGTGACTAAACTTTCCGAATTCATGACAATGGCGATACCCCTTAATGTAACTCAATGCAGATTCTTCCCACAAAGGAAAATCTAAATATTTCAGAGCAAATCAACATTGCTGACCCGGCAAAGAAACAGAAAACTTCAAAACCTCCTCTTCGACTCAATTGCATCACTTTTCCCCATAACAAGGACAGACAATTGCCGAAAACCGACACGATCAACATGAAAATACCCGGGAATTCAGAATCTTTCATTGATTTCCGCGCAGAATGATCATCTTCTATAATTCATAAGAAAAAGCACATTCATTCTCATGCCACAAGAAGAAGCTGACCCACCTAACCATAATATATCAAGAAATAACTCATCCAGTACACAAATTCCCTGACATCTTCAACGAAGACAAGTCTTGGGATACTCCGAATTACCCATAAAGCATCAACCTTTGAGAGCCGAGAGACCAAACACACAGCCGACCAATGCTGTCAAAACTCCACATCCTTGTTATCCACACCCTTTAAATACCCCCTGTATTCCAATTTTACCCCCAGGCTCGCGCAGATCGCCCTAAACTTCAACCTCAGGTCGCCCATCATCTCTTGGACGCGCTCGTCCTCCGGCTCCGCCATCGGGTACCCGCCCAGCAGCGCCTCCATCGCCCTCACGCTCTTCTGGACCCGGGCCGAGAACCGGGCTGGGTCGACCCGGATGGCCGAGCCCCAGACCCCGGCGCAGCCCCGGTAGAACCCGAGCTCCTCGCCGGTCTCGAAGCCCGTCTTGAGGCCCACCTGGCGGCCCTCCTCCTCGCCGGCGGCGACGCCGGCGGTGCGGCCGTCGGCGTAGCCTTCCTCGAAGTGGGCGTCCTCGAGGTTGAGGGACGAGTCGAAGATGTCGGAGCTGGCGCCCGCGGGTTCGGGTCGAGCGTCCATGCTGCGATCGGATGGAGTTTTCCTTGGCGACCGTTCGACGAAATCCATATTGATATTTGCTTTTTGTTATATTTTGACCTAGTGAATAATGTTAGAAATCCATGGAAAAATTACAGGGTCGGTCATAAACCTATTGTACGGATATTAAGTTGGTCCTAAACTTTTTAATTTGGCCAAATCAATCCTAAACCTTTTACACGAAATTTCCGATGTAGTTTTTCCACCAATTCTCATCGGAAATCGCCGACGTGGCGGTCCGGCCATCGTCGGCCATCCTATGTAGCACACTGTCGATCAACGATTTCCGACGAAGATTAGCAGTAAGGATTGCATTGGAATTTCATGTAAAGGATTAGGATGGATTTGGCATCGATAATAAGTTCTTCCATTATCAATAACTTACCGATAAATATATTAATCTCATCACCAAGCTCTATATTCGCTTAAATCGACTTTATGTCGGTTACAAAGAGTTTGCTATTTTTTTTGTGTAAGCAACAATACCGATCAAGTTTTGTTGGGTGCTTCATTTAGTTATTTCATTTTTTACCGTTTGCCACTTCAATTTTTTTTTTTCTTACGATAAAAAGTGCAAAAGCCAAATATTACTTGAATCTGAGATGAGTAGCTCCTACTTTTATCACCTAATGAATGGAAATGCATTCTCTAGGACGAAAAGAAAGAAAAAGCGTTTGATTTTGCATTTGACGTCGCCATGGCACGCAAGCCAAAATCAGCCAGTTGATTCCCTTCTTGAAAAACATGTATTTTAAATTCCATACATTCGAGCCGCCTTCAAAAGCATAGACCTGCATGTCTTTAATGGTTACTCGGTATATGTGAGACGAGGAGATCGTCATATCCTATGGAAATTAATTGAGTGCTTGAAACTTGAAACATCGTAATATTGATAAAATCAAATGTCTGGCCAAACATTATAACCACGGCAATTAATGAGACCGGGGAATCCTCCCTCATCCCGAACGTGGGGGGTTTGCATTCCCGTGTTTAATGCATGAAATGTCAACTCATTCTCAGAAAAAAAAAACTTGACTAGCTACTTATTAAAACCATTCATTGAAATTTTCTGACAATTAAAAAAAAAATTCACCGTTACCTTTAAGAAACAAAAAGGAAAATAAAAAGAGCACGATGATTTACAAACCAAGTTGGATTTTTCTTGAAAAAAATTGAGTTTTTATATTACGAAAAACTCTAAACTGATATATCCACGATAAATTTACCCTAAACTAATTTTTTGATCATAAAAAACCTCAGACTGGTATACATGTGACATATTTACCCTAAATTAATTTTTTGATTACCAAAAACCTCAAACTGATATATTTGTGATAAATTTACTCCCCATTAAATTTGATTAATATCACGAAAAATCACAAAATATTACACCTGTGATAGACAGGGGGTAAAACCCTAAACTGGTACACCTGTCAATTGCCACTTGTCATCTAACTTAGAAATTTGACGGTAAAATTTAATGGAAACTAACATAGAGTAAACTCGTCACTGGTATACCAGTTTAAGATTTTTTTTTGTGATCAAAAAATTAATTTAGAGTAAATTTATCACGGATGTACCAGTTTGAATTTTTTTTTATGATATTAACCTAAAAATATTTTACCGACCAAAAAAAAAAAAAACCTAAAAATATTCACTGTCACCTTTAAGAAACAGAAGAACAAAAAATGGGGATGATTTACAAATCAAGTTGGATTTTTCTTGAAAAAAAAAGCTGGATTTTTCTTGGTCCACGAGCTCGAACTTTGAATGCAGGAGCACAGGTAGATGAGATCGGTCCAGTTAAATTACTGCGATCGGCTTAGATTCTTCTTTCCTTAATTTCTGCTAATTGTCCTTGTCAGAGATCTTGTTCTCTACGCCGTGCGTGCTACGGTGAGAAGCAAAGCTGATGCACCTTTTTGGGGATTTGAAGAAATCGTTTCTCCTTTCCAAGAGAAGGCAAAAAGGTTTGCTTCTTTATCTCGCCAACGACGTACTTCCATTCATCATTGATATCAATTTGATTTTTATAAAGTAACTAAATGTATATGCCGTAGTTTAACATGATTTTTGAACGAGCGTTCGATTTTCCAGTGATGATTTGGTGACAGTTTGAGAAATGTATCGCGTGGCGCGATCGATTCGTCGTTCAACTAATAAGTTCTCACGTAAGAAAGGAGATGTCGACCTTAAGTAGTCTCGATTCCGTTTTCTATGAACTTGATCTTGAGGAATAGGTGGTTGTCCAACTTGTATATTTCTTATTCCTTTTAGAGTTTGTAATCTTGTTTCGATAAGCCAAAAAGAAGAAGATGTGGATCCGAGTACTATTTACTTTCTCGATTCGAGATACAAGTCGAGAAAATTTCGGGTTCATGATAAAAAGTTAGTGCCCCGAAAAATGTGTAATTTTTTTTTTAATTTCTATTAAATCGCTTAAGAAGTGCATTAGATGCACTTAGAATCGAAAGTTCTCAAGTGAGGGTTCCTTTGATGACCCAATTATGTGATAAAAATTCGGCATGTAACGAGATTAAGCATGTTCGATAACTTTAAATGAAATCGACTTAAATTATTCAATTAAGTAAAAAATCCACTTAATATAGTAAATAAGAAAGGGATTTGCTTAATCCCTTCGACAAAAAAAAATGAGGGTCATGACTAATTACAATCTTGTTAAATATATTAATAAAACCTATCAACAATAATCTTTTTTTTATTCTATGCTTGATCAGGGATTAATGTTAATCATTTATAACGTTGTAATTATCATCAACATACAAGTGTCGAACTAGAGCGTGGAAAAAGACGACCCAAAAAAATATAAATAAAAAAACTATAACGACAGTAAATGAAGGTTGGGGAAACGCGAAAAGCAGGGCAAAAAGTCTCCCAACCCGTCCAGAATCGGCGCTCTGGACACGGTTCCCATGCATCTCATCCTCTTCAACCTCGCTCTAGAGAGAGGGGTTGCATCATGCATGTTCCATTTCAATCTTTGACATCCTAAGCAACAAGAGATCTCTACTCTTAAGCATGACATAAGACCCTCCTCCACACACACACACACTCTTCCTCCTTTCTTCCTGACCCCTCAACTTCTCAGGACTCCATTCTTTGTGCTTTGAAAGCAGAGAGAGAGAGAGAGAGAGAGAGAGAGAGAGAGATGGGGTCAGGGTCTTTCAAGGGCAACAATGGAGGAGGAGCGCAGAGAGGGCGGCCGTACGGGTTGATGCTGCTTCTGGCATTCGGGGCTGCCCTCCTTGGAGTCATGGCACTCCACAAGCTCCGGGAGAGACGCATCTCCAATCTCCTTCTCAAGGACAAGGACCGCCAGCTCTTCTCTCTCCACCTTCTCTTGCAGGTCCCCCCCTCTCTCTCTCTCTCTCTCTCTCTCTCTCTCTCTCGGGTGACCTTCATGTGTTCAAGCTGGCGATCTGCATGCATGACACCTGTGAACCCACCACACACATAAATTTCGTTGCTTTGGAATTTTCACAATCTTAGCAGTTACGGTAGGAAAAAGGATGCTTTTTTTTTTTTTGATAACTTAGGAATCCCTAACGACTAAGCTGGGTTCGAACTCTGATCCCTTCGTGGGGGGACTAGAGCGCAAGCCAACGCAGCCGCTGCGGGCGATGGTAAAAAATAAAAAAAGGTGAAGCTTTTTAGTCCTCTTGATAATCAAGAAGAGGCAGCAATAGCTCCTACAAGCAGCTTCCATGTCCTCCATCGTCCATTTTGCTCATCTTGTTCTAGTTCCAGAAGTGCCCGACCCAAGAGATTTACATGTTTCTGGTTTTTCAAGGTTTTCTTATGTGCAACAGTTGCAATTAATAGTATTCCTTTAACTTTGAACTGCAACCAACTTTTTTCCTGGCTGGCTTTTTCAAGTTCCAATTAGTAATAATTACGTCCAATTCTTGATGAACACGGATGCTGATGATTGTCCTGAAACCTGACTGTTGCGTCGAAATTTTACCATGTGTAGAGAGAAAGAGACCACAGCAAGGAAATGAAAAGGAAATTTGAAGGGATGAAAGAGAAGATGTACGCCTTTAGGACACAAAAGATGGAGCTGGATAGTGCGGTCCTCGAGATGCAGTCTACAGTCGGCTCGCTGAAGGACGAGATGCGAGCAATGGAGTTGGCGGTCCAAGAAAAGGACAACGAACTCAAAATGCTGCATGAAAAAATTATGGAGGCAAGCCGAAAAGATCCTGAGGAAGTTCCTTTGAGAGAAATCTTGAAGCTGAAGGAAGCAGAAATTGAGGATTTGAAGCAGCGTCTCGAGAAACAGGTCAACATCGGGTCAGCGAGCTCCGACGACCCGTCTAGTTTGCCTCGGAATTCCAGTATGCAAGGAGGCGAGGTACAGAAGGACGAAACAAGCAATGTGGGTGTAGAAGGAAAGGGCGAGCCAGCGCGCGAATCAAACGGGACTTCCTTGATTGAGAGCCAAAATGAAGTCCTGGATGGCGAAGTTGCATCAAGATCTGAAGAGGGTTCTGAAGACAAACTGGGTTCTGCTGATAAGAGGGAAGTGACAGAGATGGAAAAGGTGCAGGGGAAGGGAGATAGCTCAGGTGAACATCAAGAGCAAGGACAAGTTGCCAGTGAAGGGAATGGGACAGAGGACGGTAGAGTAAATATTTATGGTCTCCAAGAGGAGCGAAAATCGGATACTGGAGATGAAGTCTCGAGAAACAGGAATGAAAATGGTAATGCGGAGACCATCAATTTGAAGGAAAGTCTAGAAGAGAGTGGAGTAGGGAAGGGTGGTCTGAAGTTGGAAACTTCAGAAAATGTTCACAGCAATGAATCAGACTCTGTTGTTGTGGTAAAGCAAGGCAATCTACATATCAGTAGGAAAAGGGGAAAGAAATGGAGGATGCTTGCAAGGAATAGGAGGCTCGGGAACAAGGGGAACAAAAAAGGAAGACTCATTAGAGACGCGAATGAAATCGAGCGATACGGGAGCGAAAGAGAAAACCAGCTAGAGAGCACCGAAAATTACCAGCAAAATGGCACCCACTTGAGAAGAGATGAGCCTGAGCAGAGAGAAGAACAAGAGAGGAAAGAAGGTCGAGATCAAGTTGAAATCAAGAGTGTGGCAGCTGACTCCAACGAAGACAGGGTAAACGGGGGAGAGGAACGTGACAAGAGCCAGGGAAACAGAGATAAGTCGATTGAGTCTGAAAATTCTGAAGATAAGGGAGATGTAGAAGAGAGTGCAATGAATGGCGGCAGAAAAGGTCCTCTTAAGGATGAACAGGAAGAGATGAAGAGTGGCAATTCGTCGACGAATGGCGAAGTCTTGACCAATTCTGCTTCACAAGGGAAAGCTGATAACATCATAAATGAAGACGGAGAACGGGAAGCCAATGTGGAAATCCAAAGACAAGAAGGTCAAGGAGCCAATGAAGACGGTGCCCGCCAGGATTTCTCGCGGGAAACTGATGGTTCCCAGTTCGGAAAATAAGGACGACTACAAGGCGGAAACCGATGGTTCTGGGCTCTAGATTTAACCCAATTGTGCTGTAAACTAAAGACCCTCTGCGTTCCTTTTTTACTATCGCTGTGTGTTCAGACAATCAGATTTAATCTTTATTAGATATTATCCATCGGTTCATACCGTATGCTAATGGAGATACACACAGACCGCTCGGTCGACCATTGCAGTACACTTCTCAGGCACAGCGCTCAGTGAAACAAATTAGTGGGAATACAGTGCTAAAATTGACGCTCAAAATTGATACACTTTGAACGGAAATCTAAACATGTATACATATTTAATAGGCAATATTTCGTTAACCCAATTAAAGCAAGCAATGTTTTAGACATGCAGATAGTCCTCATCGCATATTCATTTTGTTCCAATGCGTTAGCATCATCATCTATCTCTGTATTGGATTTTGACCAAATCTAGACGTCAAAACCAGTTCTAGACCTCGCTTCAGCTCTACTACCCGTAAAAGTTTTAAAGCAACTCCGACCCAAAAGAATCTTCTGGCGTGTACGCTTATTGAATTTACTAGGGATACAAGGGATTAGAAGACTGGGGTATGAAGTGATGTGCAGTACTGAGAGTAAGCATTCGAACAAATAGGTCATATTAAAACGATGACGCATCTATGATAGCAAAAGAGCCACGTTGTCCACAGTAAAGCAAACGATTTCTGCTATTTATTCCCCATAAGTTCCTCGGAAACTAACGAAAGAACACTCCTCCAACAAGGAAAAATGCATTCTCAACAAATACAGTTGATTGCCTTATCAGCAGGAAACTTTAGTGAAATTACGCAATCCAAACTTCAATGCGCTGCTTCCACCAGTTTCTGCAAGCAAAAGAGAGTGAATTGAGATGGTAGAAAATCTCTAAAGAAATGAAGGGACCAAAGACAGTCATTAACCGACTCAGATAGAATAATGTTCAGAATCATTACACCAATATGATATTTGGTCATTGACCACCTCAGTTTCCACGTAATTTTATGCAGGACATTGACTACGTGTGACATGCATACTATTGCCAATCCAAAAACCAAACATGGCACCAAACTACCAGCATTGATGACGCTCCAAATCATCTGCTTGATAAGTAATTGTCTAATGCTAGCCACCAGCTTAATGGGCTTCAAATCATCTGCTTGATAAGTTATTGGTTAATTCTACACCAAGTCTAAGCTCACTGTTCGACAGAATTTTCTCACGATCAAGCAAAGTGAGAGCAAAGACTCTATGTGTGTGTGCGCACGTCAAAGTACCAGCAATTCTGACCTCATAAGTTTACCAGAAGTTTGACCCAAAAAAAAAAAAGTTTACCAGAAGCCAAGATAAATAAAAAAAATCAAAGTAGCAGATCTCCTCTGAGAACGGTGGAGAAGCATCAAAGTCTACTTTGAATGCAGTAAAATGCTGCACAAGCTGGACTAGTGGTACCAAGGCATGCACATTAGCTATTTTGCTTTATAAATGTTATGCACGTCATAACTACAAACTTAACGGACTGCATTTGGTGTACAAGAGCCGATGATACCATCAATTTGAAATGATTAGCAATCTCATACGTGCATTACGTATGCATTGACAATGACCATAACAAATAAAAAGCTACAAGGGTGTTACCTATTACATCTTGTGCCCTGACCAGGCACGGCCACACATACACAAAGCTAATAATTACTCAACTTCATTTTAACATGTGAGAATATGCTTCTGAGATAGCTAGGCAACCCCACTATAAATAGGTTCACTATAACACTGCCTCTCCAGGAATTCATCTAAAACAAGTAGTATACTAAATCTGCTAGATCTAGTAACCAATGAAAGGCAGAAGCTTCAGCATATACTCTAGCAGCAGCAAACGTGCTTGGGAAACATGAAGAAAACAGGATCTGCACGGTGTGAACAATCTATTGGCTTTGTTCTTCAGTATCCATTTGAGTGATATTCAAGATCTACCGCATAATGTAAAGAAGGATGACGGATTGCAAAGATCCTTTTGGACCAAACCAGTGACCAAAAATATTTGATGCTGAGTCAAAACTTATGAAGATACGATACCATGATAAGGAATCAATGTTACCTCTTCCTTCTTATCCTTTTTGCCCCCACCGAAGAGTTTGTAACCCCCATAGATTAGCAGACCCCAGCCAGACAAAGACACAATTACAAACTGCAAAAGATAAAAGTTAAAAAAAGAAAATCAATAACAGACAGAGGTTCCCTTAAGCCATGTGCATTGACAAAAGAAAGAACACAACAAATTTTTTTTTTTGATAAGTAAAAAGAACATAACAAAACTATATATCTAAAGTCTAACTGCAATTCTGACCAAAAAGAAAAAAGTCTAACTGCAAATTAGTAAAGACTTGCTTTAAACAATAAACTGACCAGGTTATAAAATATCAGATTTCTACTTCTTATCTACCCAAGCAGAATGGCATAGCAAGCTGATCAGACAAGGATGGCCAATTCAACAAGATTATGTCATGTGCATATACATCTTGCAGAGACTAAAAACTCATAAAATAGTCAAGCATAAAGAAAACATAAAACCTAGCAGCAAAAATGAAACACCTTTTAAATATTTCCACCATGATGGAAGCTCCAAGTATCTTATTAATCCCATTTCAGCAATTAGAAGAGAACAGCGATAATCCCACATTTCAAAATGTTAAAAAGATAATAACTCACATGCTCTTCCTTCCATTTAGATGGACTCAAAGGGTCCTGCCAAACATCAACCCTTGGGGGCCCATGGTGATCTGTATGACATGAGAAAAGCGAATCAAGAAAATGAAAAGAGCAAATTGTAATCCTAGGAATAGTATCAGAACGAAAATAAAAAAAAGTCAGGATTAAATTGAAAGATAATGAGAAACCATCTACTGTACAGATTTACATAAGAAGTCTCGAGACATTCTATATACCTTAACAACATGATCTTTCTCTAGAGAGAGGCTTACATCAAAGCTTCTAGATTGGCCATTTTCCAGCCGCAAAACAAATTTTTTGTCTCGGAAACATTGTCAAGGTCCACGATTGACGTTTAATCAAAGCTTGGAAGCAACTAATCTCGTTACTCCAATTCACCCACTGACCTCATTGAGTAATACCCATCAAATTTCGCATGTTACTTTCACCACTAATCTTTTCATTCCACTTTCGATCCCAAAGATTGAATTACGACGTTAACGGGTTCTCCACAGACTTCCCGGTAAGCCAATCAACAATCAACACAACCACCACTGAACCTCATTTTTCCCAATATCCGTGAAGCACTCTTGCTATGCCAGCAAAAACACACACACACCCATCTAAAGAACTTTACAATCGCGTGACGCGGATTCCGAAGATCATTTCCACCGCCCAGCTAAGAATAGGCAAAACCCAAAATCAGCTAAAACAATTTCAATTTCTGCGCACGACCACAACGAGATACGATATTCAGAAAAAAAAACCTAAAGACGGACGCTGTCATCTCGTCCATTTCCCGAACCTCCCGACCAGGAACAGCGAGACTCCGATTCACAAGGACCAACGACATTGCGGATCCGAACTGGATCGCAAACACCTCATACGGCCGCGACGCGCACGCTCGAGCATTCCGATGCCGAACTCGGGGGGGGGAAAAAAATTTACCTGCCGCGCCGGCGAGGCCGCGCCGCTGGGCGAAGGCGCCGGCCTGAGCCGACGATAGCCCCGGAGGGGGAGCGCGCGAGAGGGCGGCGGCGCCCCGGCGAGCTGCGATCGCGGCCAACGTAGTCGCCATGGCTGGGTAGGTCTTGAAGAGAGAGAGAGAGAGAGAGAGTGTGTGTGTTCGACGCAGGGACGGTGATGGGGGAACGATGGGTTTTTTCTAGGAGAAGCGATACGTCGTCGTTTTCGTACGTGCAGGCCAAGATGTATAAGAAAAAAAATACGGAAGAAAACGTCGCTGCCGGGGATTGAACCCGGGTCTCCCGCGTGACAGGCGGGGATACTCGCCACTATACTACAACGACCCACTTGCCGATTATTTTAATATTATATTTATATAAAAAAAATTACTTTTTTTACCGGGGACGCGACTTTACCGTCTTGCCCCCTCCCGAGGAGCTTCCGTTCTCGCTGGAGAAACCCTAATCGAAGGTGTCGCTTGCCGCCTCACGCTCTCCCTCCCTCCGTATGCGTGTATAAATAGGTGGCTTTGCGATCGTGCAATCGCTCACCAGAATGCCAGAGCTAAGCTCCTCCTAGGGTTTGTCGCTGTTCTCCTCCTCCTCCTCCTCTTCTTCCTAGTTATGCTCTGCTTGTTTGGTTCTTTTGTTTCGTAGATTTTGATGGTACGCTCTGTGAGCGAATCGTATGTTTGAGCGTGAACCGGATTTGCTGGCGGTCGTCGCTGGGAATTTCGTGTTCGACGCACTGCACGATGCACACCCCGGGCTTCTCCGAGGTTGAACCGCTGACGATGGCAAAGCCCCAATGCTCGTGCTAGATCGAGGCGCCGTTCGTGTTGCAGTCTAGCTTGACGTAGCTTGATCTGTGTCAATTCAAGCGGCTACATCTCGCTATGATATGGCTCGCGCTCATGTGGGTCATGCGCGCGTTTAGGTTTTCCGTGCGAAAGTTTTTGTCTTTTGGTTCGACTGGAGTTTCGAAGCGGCGGTCGGCGATGATTACACATTATCCGCGCTTCTGAGTTGTCTACGATGAAGCACAGAGGATAAAAAAAATGGTTGAATTTCTTGATATGAGCCGATATGATTTCGGGCGAACGTGATTTCGTGTCAAAATTCGATTTTGTTTTCGATGAAAACGGCGGTGATGATCGATGTTACAGCTTCAAATGCCAGTTCTGCTTCAGAAAATTCTTGATTGATAGAGCTGTTTATCTTGTCTGAGCCCTTCCCATCGACAACTTTTTTGAAGTTTTTATGTCCAATTTGTTGATCTTCGTTGCTTCTTTCTTTTGGATTTTGTTTCTTCTTGTTTTTCTTTAAATTTGGCCTGAGTTGATGATGATATGATCCGCTTTGTTGAGGTGTAGATCGCCCCAAGCCCTGTTTACAGGGGAACCTACTTGGGGTCCTACACCATCCATGAAAACGCTGGATCTGTCTGAGACCCTCCATTAGTACTTCCATTCCTGTGTTGTGACAATGGTCTGTCTAATGCTTTTGTTTGGGTCATTATCAAAACCGTTCGTTTCGAGTCAGTTTCGAGTTAGTGTGTTTTGGTTGCGCTGCTTAGTGGATAAAAATCAGTTTCTTTTTTCGCAATTGGTATAAAAATTGAGTTTTTGTACGTCTCTTCTTGTGCTTGTGTTGATGGTAATGAGATTGTGTATCAAAGTTGAGAGTACCCGGGATAGCTGGCTTTCTGAAAAGTGTTCACTAGAGTGTGAGTTTCAACTATGCTCTTTGCCTTTTCTTTGCTGTGGGCATTGGAGTCTGAAAAAACTCACAGATTGGGTGTTGTCTATCAGCTTCTTCTCTTGATATCCCACGAGTTTGGAGTTAAATAACAGCACAACATTTTTCTCGCAGCATTGCTTTCTTAAAACCATAACATGCTTGTGCTTTTGAGTGTATTGATTCTCTCACGGTGTTGAGTGTGCACACGCTGGTTACTTTGGCAGGGATTTGTTCCTGAAAGTTGGCGCATATCTGCTGACATACTTGCGCTACTCAGGTCCTAGAAGATGGATACAGAGTAACTGATGGATCTTTGCCAAACTGATGCTAAAGTGAACTCAAGGTATCAGCCTGGCATTAGACCATTCTTGTGCATGAAATATGCTTCTGGCTGATAGTAGTTGGGTCTTACCGAAGGTCATGCCTTGCTTGAGACCCGCTCGTGTACTCGGACTGACCGGCAGTTCGGTCCGGGCATGGTTTGCTCTCGGGGAAGATGAGAAACACCATTGAATAAAACCCTCGATTTGCTCCCTCATCCAATGAGTAGACGAGCAGCGAACTTACAAGATCATGGAGCCAGAACAAATTCACAGAAAGCAGATCAGATGGCGAGATTTGAACTGGCAATTTCTCAGGTAGCAGCTGCCTGACCTTGCTGATGACAAACTTGGAGTCCCTTCCAAAGATGATTCGGTTCTAATAGATTTTGAGAGCATTCCCAGTCACACTTTTCTTCGAAGTTGAACATAGTCCGCGTTGGGATGGGGGGTGCCTCGACCTTCTGAGAAATTTCATGAAAATCACAGCTGCAGCCTTAACATCACTATGTTAATTTTATGATGGCAAAAGTAATAAAAATAGAAGTATATTAAATAATATTAATAACAATATTAATAATAATGATAATGACGATAACAATAGCTATGGTGAAAAATTTTACTTTATAAAGGTTCTAACGCAAAGATCTAATAATCACAACAATTTCTTAGGAACTTGATCCAAATTTACTAATTATTAGTAATCACAATACATCTGGAAAGATTGACAAACGTATGCATTTCGAAATAACACAGATTGCAGAGTTACAACTGTACCTCAGAAAGTATTGCTTAGTATTTCGCGAAAGCCATTCAATGAGAGCTCTAAGATTTGAAAAAATAAAAATAAGGAAAAAGAAAAATAAAATGCTCCCGTGGTCTTTTATGTTTTTTGAGAAAAAGACACAAACAGTCTCTGAACTTTGGCCAAATGTGTAATATAGTCTATGAATTTTTAATTTGTTTAATATAGTTTCTGAACTGTAACCTGATGTGCAATATGATCCCTAAACTTTTAATTTGTCTAATATTGTTCGTGAATTTTTAGTACATGTTCAGTTTAGTCCGTTAACTATATGAAAATATTCAATTTACTAAAATATGAGAACCGTGATTTATTAATTACGCACGGTGGCTTCTTTACCTCTCATGTCATGTTGGAAACTTGGAAACTCATTGGTCAAGTTTCTAGGCTTGCTTTACATGAAAAGGAAAATTGATGAGATTTACCAAGTAAATCCCACTCAAGTATTTTTTTTTTCTTTTTTAGAAATTGATGGGGGAAAGGGAAATGTGAAATATAAGAAAGAAAATAAAACAAATGACAATTTCATAAGTGTATCACCAAAAGAGTGGTAAATTCTCTATGGATAATAACGTGGTGATTTTTTTTTCTAGATGAGATTCTAAATAAAAAATTTTGCAAAGGGAATGAACCAAGACTTTAGGTTGATTTGGTTCGGCTTTGGGGGAATGTCTTTAGGAAAATGTAAAGGCCTTTGGAATAAAGGGGTTTTCCGAAATGTAAATAGTATTTGGTAAAGTGTATTTTAAAAACACTTGATAGACTTAAACGTCGTTTGGTAAAAGTACATTTTGTAAAGGACTTTTGATATATATATTTTTTTAAATAAGTCTTAAACTATTTCCGGTGGAGCTCAGTCGCTAGTCCGCCGGCCAGCCTCGCCTGAGGTAGGGCGACCTCAAGCGTTGCCTAAGTCGCGCAACCCAGGCGACGCTTAAGATCACATGACCATAGGTGACGACGGCCAAGGTCACCCAACCCTCAAGCTAGGGGTGAGTATGGTCCGGTGGGCAATTCTTATCATGAAACTGAGAATCGTTCACTAAGGACCGGTTCCAAAAAATTGGAATCGAAAGCCGCCTATTGATTTCATGGAACCGGTCCCACAAAGCTTTACGTAAATGAAGGTGACCGAGAGCTAGAGAAAGAGGCAATAATTAGCCGGAGGTGCACCCATGAGTTGATGGGCGTTGGGCTGGAGAGTCGAGATTATAAGTGAGAGATACAGAGACGACTCAAATAAGGCGAGAGTAAAACGAGACGATCGCTCAATTGATAAGCATTGAGCTTCGGATTAAGGATTTTAAAGTTTTCATTTTTCTTAAATTTTTTTTCTTTGTTTTTTGTTGGAAGTTTTCTTGAAAATTATATATATTACCAATTCGATCCGGGTAGGAGAATGGACGGTTCCACGCCTAGAACCGAGAATCAGACTAGTACTCACCAGTTCCGCTAAATTAAAATCGGGAACCGGACTGGTTTTCATAGGAACCGCTGGTCCAGACGGTTCCCGGTTTCTTTGCACACCCCTACCTCAGGCGGCGGTCATTGAGGTTAAGTGACCCCTCTGGCGGTAGTTGCTGGCTTCCGTCTAGCTCCGGTCACGCAAACCATGGGGAAAATGAACAGTATCGATGAATAGTGAACAGTGCTAAAGACTTGCATTAAAAAAATACTACTTTTCAAATAACCTCCGGACTTGCCTTGGACTAAAGGCTTTTAGAAGTCTTTGGAAATACAATTGCATTTCCTCAAAATTGAGCAAAATACGAGTCAAACGTCATTTACATTTGGCCAAGGGACTTTAGAGTCCAAAAACCCATTTACAATGCTAAACCAAATAGGACCTTCGGCTCATGGACTCAAGCCCGTTGGTCCAAAAAGGTTCAAGATCATATCGGTAACAAATGTTCGACAATAATATTCCAACTGAAAGACCCACCAAATACGAATTGATAATCTATCTTGAAATTGATCCAGTGACAGGGATGTGCTCGTACTCAATGGTTGGAACTGAAAGTTATTTTTTGATTTTTTGCCCTTGAATTGAGAGTCGATGATACATGTTATGAATTTACAACGGGCTTTGATTTTGATCGTGGAGCAATATACATCTGGTGAAAATTGCAAGCAAATCTGACCCTGTCCGAAAAATGCTTGATTTTCCATTCCTAGGCAAATCTTTTATCCGAAAATTGCTCTCGAACCGGTTGTCCACTTCCCAAGAAATGACACGTGCGATCTCATGGTTGCACCGTTACTGATAAAAAAAAAAAGAAAAAGCAACGGTGCCGTTATCCTAGCAAAGGCTCAATTCCATTACCATCGGTTGCAAGCCCAGTTTACCCATGACCTACTGGGCCTGCAGAAGAGACATGCACTCTCCCAGCTTTGAAAGCATCTTATGATCATTGGCCCAAATCCAACCACCAATGATCCATAATCCCTGCCCTCCTCTTTTGAGAGTACTAAGACGATCCGTCATTGCTAACGAGTAGTGGTAATCAATTTCAAGTTGAGCCGGTTCCCATCCCGGAATTGAGAATCCGACCGAATAGGGTCGGTCCCAGTATGTGGCACCAAGAACCGACCCTGTCCATCCTAGAACCGGACTGGCCAACAGGAACCGACAATGTTTTTTTCTTTTGTCAAAAGTTCCTAACTGTAGTGGAACTTACTTTAATGTGTGATGAAATGACTAATCACGGGAAATTATTAGTAAAAGAAGAGATTACTCCGACAAATTATCTGTACCGTTTGTCCTAGACGAATAAAAAAATAATCTTGACCAGTTCCGCTGGTTTGGTTCAGTTCCTCCTCGAGAAACGGGAATCATACAAGTTAGTTCCGGTTTCAGAGATACGGAACCGGGAACCGCCCATAATCGGCTGAATTGGTCCCGCTCGGTTCCCGATTTGGATCAGGACCGATGCACATCCCCTGCGGACGAGGTCGAGTAACCACTTCACCATCGCACGCCCAGAGACATGGGAACGAACAAATTATGCTAGAGATGTGGGCGTCCCGTCGATGCTGACTTCCTTCCGTCTTCTCCTTCGCCTTTTGCCCCAGATATTTCTTCGCGTTGGGCTCGCCTTGAAAAGCGACGACAATGTCGCGAGGGACGGGAAAACGAGGGACCACCGGCTTGTTCTTTCTTCAAGGTTCGCAGGATAATAGAGGTTCCTACGAATCCTCGGGGATTAGATCTCGAGAATGTCTTCGCCGTCGGACGTCAACACGAGTGATTGTCGGCGGCAACTAAATTCTTTTTACGTTTTTACGTGTCATGACATTTTATATAGGAGTTACCAAATTACAGTTACGATAGAGTTATGACACGATCCACTACTAGAAGACCATAGAAGCTCTGGAGAGGAGGGTGACCCCTCGAGTCGAGGCAAATGGGTGTTTGTTTTAAATCAAACAATAAGTCATTTGTACATTTTTCCGTAGAAATTAATGTTTTGTGGTTTATAAAATATCGCGAAAAATTCGGGATGATGTTTGCGTTAGATAATTGCGCGAAGAAGATTGGTAACTGCATGAGAAAGTTCGGGAAGTTATTAATTTTGTATTTCTTGCGTCCTATTATTTAATGTAAAGGTAATTTTGGAATCCTTCGTCATCGAGACAGTTCACTTTCGGCTTGAATACACAAATTTAAACTTTAGCATAGGAAGAATCGCTTCGGTAGCGCTATGCGCGCGAATGCGGTTAGGTAAAACTGGGCTCAAGAAGAAAATGAACCAATCCGTAAAGAAGTGGATAAAGTAAGGGTGCGTTTAGTAACTATTTTGTTCTCGAAAATAATTTTTGCTCAGAAATAATTTTTTTTTATTATGTTCTCGAAAACAATTTCTAAGCATTTGAAGGGGTTTGGTAACGGCCCAAAATTTCCAATCCTAGAATAGAAAAAGAACAGAAATGTGTTTGGTAACTGCACAAAAATTCTTTTTATTAATAATATATTTAAATATTTAAATATTTCTTTTTTTTTTCTTCTTTCTTGGCCTGTGGCCTGTGGTCGATCGCCAGTCGCCAGCCACAGGCCAAGAAAGAAGAAGAAGAAGAATTTTTTTTTTCCATTTTTGAATGAAGAATCAACTTTTTTTTTATTCTTGATTTTGTTCCAAAACTGATTTTGGAAATAAAAAATTTACCAAACGGATTTCTATTTTTTTATTATTTCGGAGAATAAAAGAATTTAATCGGGTACTATTTGATCGGTTACCAAATAGCTCCTAACAAGTCACTGAAAGTGTTAATTTTTCAATGACTAAATCACAGAACAATATGGTTTCACTTGTCCCAAAATCTTTGTGCCATAAACAAAGACGTGGCTTGGACAGAGCACCTGCTTAGCCCGCAGGTCAATCGATGATGATCCGACCCATTAATTTATGGATTTTTTCCAAACGGGGCAAAAGTTACCAAAAATTATAAATTATACTAAATTTTTTCCATAATGCAAAAAATCATAAATTTATATTTGTGTGATATATCGTCCGTCAAAGTTCTATTAATAAGAACCGTTAAAAATCTATCTATATAGATAACAGAAAACAAACGGTATTGACATGACGTACACGTGACTTTATTTTTGCTGGAAAAATCATATGAATATTGACGGATGGATAGAGGCTTTTTACGTCACGAAAAAGTTTAAGATAAATGTATCGAAGTATGCTCGGATCTTACAATCGCTTTGCATTTATCCTAAACGTGCGCGTGGCACGTTTTCGCGACCCACGTTAGCGAAAGGACTCTGATAATTTGATCCTCCACCGGTCCCCAAAAAGGAGGCATAATTCCAAAAAAAATCCCAAACTTGACACTTTGTCCCAATTATACCCTGAACTTTTTTTTGTCTCAAGAAAAACCTCAAACTTTACTCCGAGTCCCAAATCTACCCTACCGTTATAACTCTGTCCAATTAACGTCAGAAAAAAAAAAAAAAACAGAATCAGCAGCTGCGGCGCGGCCAAGCCTTCACCGGTGGCCGCCGCCACAGCCGCCGGGAAGGAGCGGCGGCCCTCGCCGGCTCTCGCCTGGGCCTTCCCGAAGGCCGGCGACCTTCGCCGGCCCCAGGCGAGTCGCCAGCGAGGGCGTGCAGCCCCCGATCTGGGGCGAGGGCCGCCGCTCCTTCCCGGCGGCTGTGGCGGCGGCCACCGGCGAAGGTTTGGCCGCGCCGCAGCTGCTGGTTCTGATTTTTTTTTTTTTGACGTTAATTGGACGGAGTTATAACGGTAGGGTAGATTTGGGACTTGGAGAAAAGTTTGAGGTTTTTTTGAGACAAAAATAAATTCAGGGTATAATTGGGACAAAGTGTAAAGTTTGGGGTTTTTTTTGGAATTAGGCCCCAAAAAGGAAGGGGGAAGATTAGGGGTGAGCGGTTCCCGGTCCGGTCCGGTTCCAAGGTGGAACCGGGAACCGGACCGAGAGAATCGGTTCCCAATTTTGGGAACCACGGACCGGACCGATTGGTTCTAGGACCGGGAACCGGACCGGACCGTCGGTCCGGTCCGGTTCCGGTCCGATCCAATGGAACCGGTTACTTAGAGTTTAGGGTTTTTTTTTTTGTCAAACACTTAAGGTTTAGTTCACATTTTACTAATTTTTGTCAATAAATTTATGTCAATGAAGTTCACTTAGCGTTTAATTCGCATTTTACTATTTTTTATCAATGAATTTATGATAATGAAGTTCATTTAGAGTTTAGTTCACATTTTATTATTTTTTTAAAGAAAAAAATAACAAAAATATATATTAAATAGTCGCTCCGGTACGATCGGTCCGGTCCGGTCCGGTTCCCCCTTGGAACCGGGAACCGGACCGCCCGGAAACCGGTTCCGCTTTTAGGAACCGGGAACCGGACCGATAATCTCGAGAACCGGACCAAACTCGTCGGTCCGGTCCGGTCCGGTCCGGTCCCGGTTTGGGCGGTCCAAGTTGCTCACCCCTAGGGAAGATAAGGGAAAAGGCTCCTTTTCGCGGCTAGTCATTTCAACGATCCACTCGTCAATCCGGATCCCAAAGCTGCTCCGACAACAAAGTGAGACTACCTTTGCTCTCTGCTCTCTGCTCTCTGCTCTCTCTTCTTCTTCTTCTTCTGCTTCTCCACTTGTCGAACGGACACGGCGGTCGCGCCCGCGCTCCGAGGCCTCCGCCGGTCGCGACATGGCGATCTCCTCCTTCTTGAAGAGAGCTTCGAGCTATCTCCATGGCCATCCCGCTTGCTTCAAGGCTTTGGTCCTCGTCACTCTCAGGTACCCTTTCCTCCCTTCGCCATTCCCCGTACGCCGTCCCCGTAGCCGTCGCCGTCGCCGTCGCTCTGCGTTTCCGAGCTCTTTACCGAGCTCGGTTGTGGTGATGATCAGTGAGTCTAGGACGTGTTCGTTGACTCGCTGGGACTTTTTAGTTTGGGCATCGCGCTCGTTAGAGTCCGGCGCCAGCAAAAGCTGAGAAATCCGAGTCTTGCGCTTTTGGTTTGAAATTTGCGGTGAGTTCCGAGCTGTACTTCGTGATCTGGGAAACAAGCCGATGTTTCGAATAACCGCAATCAATGCGGAGACCCGAGCGAGGTTTCGAATTTTGGGGTTTCTGTTGTTAGAGAGCGTGGAAAGTAAGAGTTGGCGTTCCGTTGGCTGTGATTCGGTGGGTTCCCCATCGTTGGTTTTCTGATCTTGATCACGAGAGAAAAGAGAAGCAGAGTATGTTTTGGATTTGCCCAGCACGATCTATTTCGGCGTCTTGAAAGCTCGGATTGTAAGCATGAAAATGTTAGTTTCTTTTTCGCAGCGTCCCGTGTATCGATCGATTCTTGGGTGTATATGTCCCTGTAAGCGGTACATTATTTAGTATGCCCGATCGCGCGAGCGCTTTTGATGTATTTGAAAGCAGAGTAAATAAATTGCAGAATATGTCTGAATGTGAAATTGCCGAGTCATCAATATAAGATCGAATCATGGTGAATCCCCATTTCTTAATTTATTGCAATTTTCTTTTACTGGTGATGAATTTCTATCAATTCCACGACTTTATTAATCTTGTATAAACACGATGAATATTGTGGAATAACGGAATGTGCTTCTTGTTTGACCAACTATAGCATATTGTGACATTGTGTATCCCGTCATGTGAATTTTTGCAGCAGCGGAAGTTTAGTAGCTTATTCAGATTCTCAGTCAGAGACCGATAAAGTCAGTCTTGACCTAAATCAGAAGGAGCAAAAGAAGAAGAAAGTGGTGGTACTTGGAACCGGATGGGCCGGTACTAGTTTCCTCAAGGATATTCATGTTTCATCCTACGATGTTCAGGTTATTTCACCCAGGAATTATTTTGCATTTACGCCTTTGTTACCTAGTGTCACGTGCGGAACGGTTGAAGCACGGAGTATTGTGGAGCCGGTTCGAAATATAATAAAGAAGGTAAATTATTGTGCTCAAAAGCCTCAGAATTTTCATTTATGTTTTCGTTGTTAGTTGCCATATAGAACTGCATTTTTAATCTTTGCTTAGCATTGCAAATTCGTATAGGAAAAAAATACTTCTAGTGGCAGTCTAGATGGATGTTTATGGTAAAAAACAAGGATATATTGATTACCATTATGTGTAATAAATCTGATCACTCATTGCTTCTTGAATGCATTAGAGCAGTCAGTTTTCATGGTTAACAGGCCAAAATGAAAATAAGATCTTTTTCTACAGTGACATGATATGATGCTTACTTGATAATTTTCATGTATGTGTTTGGGCTTAGAAGTTTACATGCTCACTCGGTCCTTTTGGTGGACATATCAATTCTAAAATTTCATCAAGGTCTTGAAACTAGTTCAAAATGCTATTCCATAATTAGATCAAATTGACTCTTATTCTTCTCAGATTTTTGAAATTATAATTCCTGCAAATATCAGATGTCAATCTGGTTTCATGCGGATTGCCTGAATCAATCATATGGCAACCATTTTTTTTTTGCTTTTGATAGACCAGGACAAAAGGATTGTTTACTTTGTAGAATTGGTGAATCAAAACTCACTAGATACTTGCCACTGCTTCAGCAATACAGATTTTATGATTTCAATATTATATGCCCAACTTTAGATAACATGGGCTCTTTTCCCTCTTTATATCTTAAATTGGGTCATCTCAGGTAGATAGTAGGTATGGCAATTTTTTTAAAATTAATCTTACTATGAGACAAAATAAGACTATTGCCATTCGTCATGTAGATACCCTGGGATAAGTCTATTGAAAAAGTCTATGGTGAAGTAGAGGGATTCCTTATGATTACATTGAATTATGGGGGACTATCACGGTGATATTGGGTGCCACTTTGATGAGGTACATGACATGCTGATACTGGATTCTGCTACATTAGGGTTGGCAAAAGGAACGCTTTTTTTTTTTGGGTGTAAAATGTAAGTTTTATAAAGCAAATTGAGAACAACAGCTTAGGGGCATTCCCCAGCATTACAATAGAGTTAATAATTTAAAAAGATGGAGGTAGGAAGCCTCCATATAGTAGCCGAAACAATATTTGTCTGGGAAGGTCTAATTTTTTGGAAGAGCGAAGCTCTACCTCTTACATTTATACGCACATTAGCTAGAATAATATGGATGTCAGATGACTTGTTTTGAAATCGCTTACGGTTGCGCTCCATACAAATGCCATATATGGTTGCTAGAAAGGATACCTTGAGGAGTTTTGCCGCTAAGTCTTTGCCTTTTGTTGCCCTAATCATCCAGCATCACGAGTGATCCTGTTGTTCTTGCAGATGATTTCTTTTTTTTTCCTCCTTTTGACAACACCCGTACTAGGATGCCTTATCCTCCACGTCGTGGTTTTTTCTTATTGCTCTTTTCCTTTGTTTTTTTCTGTTCTATTTCAGCTATTCTTTCGGGTCTTCATTTGGTCCCACACGATTACGGCACTGAAAAATGCAATATCATTCTGACTTTGTTCTTGGTACGTACTTATTTTGTCCCATGCCTTAATATCAGAGAAATGGAGAAATTCAGTTTTTTGAAGCTGAATGTGTGAAGATTGATGCTGCAAATAATAAAGTTCTATGTCGCTCTAATCTGGACCAGAACTTGGGAGGAAATGGGGAATTCTCGCTGGAATATGATTACTTGGTTATAGCAGTTGGAGCACAAGTAAATACTTTTGACACCCCCGGTGTAAGGGAGAACTGTCACTTTCTGAAGGTTCGTAAGTTTTCTGCTGTTGCGGAAATATTATTTGCATCTTAAATTGCAATGTGCTTGCAGGTGGTTTTTGCAGATTATCTTGCTGTTAGTCGTAGTTCTGTAGGTTTTGAGCTTTCAATGCATTAATGGGTATCTTGTGCATTTCATGCAGGAAGTGGAGGATGCACAGAAGCTCCGTGATAGTGTAATAGACAGTTTTGAGAAGGCCGTCCTTCCAGGCTTGAGTGAAGAAGAGAGAAAAGCATCTCTTCATTTTGTGATTGTTGGGGGAGGTCCCACGGGTGTTGAATTTGCTGCGGAGCTACATGACTTCATTCAGGAAGATCTAGTAGCCATCTATCCGATGGTCAAAGATCTAGTTCGGATAACACTGATCCAATCAGGAGATCATATCCTAAACACGTGAGGAAATTTCACTGCAGTATTATTCTGTAATGCTTTTTAACATGCTCAAGGCTTGGTATTCAAACTATTTTGATACCCATGGACGCAGTCAGTGTCAGGTCAAGACAACATGAACTTATGGATTTGAAGCTACATTAAGGAGAATCTCTAATCTGTCAAACATGAAATAAACCCGAAATAAGGGCTGCTGCTCTATTTGAACTATCCATTACCCACATACTATATCAAACATCCACAAAGTTAAAGTGTCAAACAGGAAAGACCATCAAAGTTCCTAACTTTGCGGTTTCTTTTGTTTTCCAATTAGCTTGTATGTTTTTCCATAATTTTCCAGTTGAATGCAATGTGATTGAACTCTATCATTGTCTCTCTGTCATATTAGCCATTAGCAAATTGTTTAGCTTGTTAACTTGGATAACGCAGAATTACGGAAAGGCAGGACTGTTTGATGCGTCCTCTCCCTTTTTCTCATCCTATCATTCCAGCGAAAGGTCTGTTCAGTATTGTAGTGATCTCAGTTCAAATTGTGTTTTCTCCTCAAAGATGCTTTTCGTATGGCGTGAAAATTTAGTTAAGATGCTTGTATAGGAGCCATATGTAGATTGAAAGTTATTATAAAGGGAACATGAATTTTGAGAGCTATGGAATATAGAGTCCTGTCTCCTCGGAGGTATGGAGAATTGTGTCAGGATGATTTGTCGATAAAGTTCAATTTGTGAATTTGGATTCTCCACGGCTATAAGTTTGGCAGGTGATACTTTGTGGTGGACAGTCTGAGTGCCAATGTGTGAAGGAGGCTGGAACATTTGGCCTTTTTTAGACTTGGTTATTGGGGTTGGCATCTATGAGCAATTTGTAAGAAACGGAATTGTTATTGACTTAAGTTGAAATGTTGAATTCCTTTTTCAAATTCTCAGGTTTGATGACAGAATCAGTTCATTTGCTGAGCAGAAGTTTCAAAGGGATGGCATTGAGGTCTGTACTGGTTGTCGGGTTCTTGGTGTTTCAGAAAAGTCGCTTTCTGTGAAGGTGAAATCCCAAGGAGAAATTTACTCGATTCCTCATGGATTGGTTGTTTGGTCAACTGGTGTAGGGACTCGTCCACTAGTGAGGGACTTCATGGAGCAAGTTGGTCAGGTTTGTGACATACTGTTATGCATTCATGAAGTGGACTCTAAGAAACTGTGACATTGAACTTGCAGGATTATGTCTATTGCCTTAGTGGCCTCAACCTGCGCCTATGCATAGATTCCATATCTTGCTGTGTCTCAACTACTGATATGGTTTATCATTGTTCTTATCAGAATGATTTGAGGTTTTGCTCAATCTGCAGGGTGATAGACGAATTCTTGCAACTAATGAATGGCTACGGGTGAAGGGCAGTGAAAATGTATATGCCCTAGGTGATTGTGCTACAATAGACCAACGTAAAATAATGGTATACTTTTTAAATTGGTGTCTGTTTTACTGTATGTTCATATGGCTGGTTGTCTGAAAAGTAACATATCAGTAGTTGCATATCTCTGTCAGTTAGCAGTACTTAGACTTAAAAGTAACATATCTCAGTCATTCTCATGGATGACCTCATTTTGGAACTTGCATGAAAATGCTCCTCATGTGAAACACTGGATCGATTAATGTCTTTGGAAGTTCACTTAGAGTTCGTATTAATTGACCAGATTACATCATGTGTGGGTTTCTTGAATTGCACATAATTCCACTTTGAAAGAGCATCTCCATCCTGTCCCATTTATCTTATTCTTCTCTTGCGGATATACATGATAAGTTGCCTATCTCTAACATGAAGCATGAACATACTTGGTGAAATGTATGTATTAATCTTTCACAATACGATGTGGCTATCTTACATCGCCAAATAGCGCTGATCATTACTAGCTTAAAACGGAGCAAAGCTGCATTTTACAAACTCTAATCATCTACTGATGGTAATACTGACCTTAGAGATGGTATTTTTCGTCATTGTACTCTTGTTTTCTCCTTTTAATTTATGATTACTACAATTGATATACTCAGGAGGACATCTTGAGCATATTCAAGGCTGCGGACACGGATAACTCTGGCACTTTAACTGTTAGTGAATTTGAAGATGTTGTGGATGATATCCTCATACGGTATCCCCAAGTGGAACTATACTTGAAGAGCAAGCATTTGATGGATGTAACAGATCTGCTGAGAGATCCAGAAGGCAATGAGAGAGAAAGTGTAGATATTGAAGAATTCAAATCGGTCCTTTGTCTTGTAGATTCGAAAACAAAGAGTTTGCCAGCCACTGCACAGGTGATGGTTTTGGCAGTCTCTTTTAAGTCAAATTTGATGTGGCTTCTCTCTTGTCACCACTATAGAGGCACTTAAAGCATCTAATGCTTTCCTGCCAGGTCGCTGCTCAACAAGGAACTTATCTTTCCAAGTGCTTCAACCGGAGACAGCAGTGTCAAGAACATCCTGAAGGTCCAAGACGTTTTAGTGGTTCTGGGCAGCATCATTTTCGTCCTTTTCGGTATTTTACCTTTTCATTATGTTTATCCTATTTCATCATGGGAATCATAGATGAGCTTGCTCGCTCTATACAGATATGTATATGTATCTGTTACCTTTCCTCTCCCATTAACTGGTTTCATTTAATGTGGCCAAAAAGGTACAAGCATTTTGGGAAGTTTGCTCCTTTGGGAGGAGAGCAAGCTGCTGCCGAACTTCCCGGAGACTGGGTATCTATGGGTCATAGTACTCAATGGCTCTGGTATTCTGTATATGCAAGGTGCTAAATCCCCTCATACTTTGGTAAAAATATCACTTGGTGTTTTGTGTTGCGACATTTAGAGCTTTTCCCTCTTTTTCAGCAAGCAAGTAAGCTGGCGCACACGGGTGTTGGTCGTATCTGATTGGGCACGGAGATTTGTTTTCGGAAGAGACTCGAGCCGTATTTGAGGTGACGAATGAAATGTGTAAATAATGTTGAGAACCATCGGAATGTCACTGTTAGACATGGAAGACTGCTTTTGGCTTCTCCTTCCAGGTGTGATTAGCCATGTAATCTTCTGTCTATCTGCAAGTCAGTGGGAGGTGAAAGCATTGCTATTAAAACATGTCATGTAGTAGACTAAAAGTATCTTGTGATGATGCCGAAAAGTTTAGTGGAATGCTCTCAGACAAAGGCGCTCATTGTGTTTGCGCAACACATACATGGCTTTGTTCATCGTAACATTGGGGTTCTCGATGAACTTGACTAGTTGTCTGAATCTCTGTAGTCTTGCTACCGTATGAAGGCAGGAGTCCTGCTAGAGAACTGGATACAACGACAAGTAAAAGTCAGGCACATATGGTATACTGCCACTTTACTTCATTGGAGTTGAGACATTTCTAGATGAATTGTGCTATTGTTTGAGAGAGAGAGAGAGAGAGAGAGAGAGAGAGAGAGAGAGAGAGAGAGAGAGAGATGGGTAGTGCGACATTGTTAATCGAACTTCAAACTGTATTAATGCTGCAATTAGTTTTTCTTTTGGTTGAATAATGCTTCAATTAGTTGTCTGATTGTTTTTTTCACAGGCTGATGGTAATTTTAGCTGGATTAATTCAAATTGAAAGCATTCAGATCAAGGATGATCGGTTTCAGCGGGGCTAGGCTTTGGGCCTAAAATCTGAAATCGATCTTGCCAAGGCCGGTTTCTATTTTCAAAACTGGGAACGGGCCCAGTTCCAAACCGACTGGTTCTAAGGTCAATTTGGGAACTGGCTGAGGGTTTTTTTGTTTTTTTGGGTTTCGTTTTATTATACATACAATGGGCATTGTGTCAAATGTGAATACTGTTCTTTCTACTTGAATATAATATGTCGAAAGCATTCAATTTCAGCAAATAATTTTGTTCCAAAAGCAAGGACCTTCTCCAAATGTTCCCTAAAATCGGTGAGCAATGTGATAAAGAGAGAGAGAGGCGGTGAGAGCGGGGCTTCTCGATCACAAAACCCAAGACTGAACTAACGAAGAAAAGGAGTAAAAAACTTACTTAGGATCATATGAATCGATTCCAAATTGATTTGGTTCTAGGTTCGACCTTGGAAACGGTTGGTATCGAATCCTGAACCGGTTACGATCGGTTCCTAATTTTTGGAGTGGAGAACCGGTTGCTCATATCCCTTATCTGGACGTTAAAAAACAGAAGAGAGAATATAATCTTTATCATAAATGGCGAACCTTTTCAACATCAGAATTTTCCCGATCTTCCCTGCGTTCGAGGGAAGCAACTCCCATCCCGCTTCTCTTCAAAATCGCCACTATCCTTTTTCTCATTATGCGCAAAGGGTTCCAACCTCCAACCATTTCTTCTATATCGTCACGTGTTGGGAGAATCCTCATAAGGTCCTCGAGGAAGACGATGTATGTTACCTTGGACTGTCCCGTCTTTTTAGTTTGACGAAGTCTCGAGCCAATCTCGCGGTCTTGCTTGGCTCCCCCACCCCCGCAAGAAAAATGCCATCATTACCGGATGAATAACACATTAAATGGAGCCGGTGCAGAAGATGAACAAATATTCTTACCCGACCCGATTCCCTAGCTAGCCCTAGACCTGTCAAAATAAGTCATAAACCCATTTATTAACCCATATATTAGTAAATGGGTAGAAGTATAACATTAGTATTAAATGAGTTATAAATGGGTCATAAATGAGTTTACAACTGATTTAAACTCAACTCATCTCTCTCGCCCTCACTCAACCTTGTAATCACTCACTTCGTACTCTTATCTCAGTTTGGATATGAATTTTCCTAGATTTAATTAAATATGAAAGTGTTTTAGCAATATGGGTCTGATCGGGTATGGGTGGGGTATTGAACGGGTCGGGTATGGGTCAAGAAAATTGCATTACGCATAAATGGGTTAATGGGTCAATTTGGATCGGATCATTTATGACCCGACTTAAACCCGATCCGACTCACCCATTTGACAGATCTAGCTAGCCCGATCGATCAAAGCGGGTCCCCGAGCAATCCGGGTCACGGGGCACTGGGAACGAACGAACGAACGAACAACTCCTAATTGTACGGACGCCCCCATCGGGGCGACACGTGTCCGAAAAAAAAAGGCTGGAAAAAAGGAAAGGACGGGGGGAGCTTCGCTGCTCTGAGCTTTTTCCGTGACGGTTACGCATGACGTCACCACACTCCACTCATGGAAACCGCCTCTCCTCTCTCTCTCTATATATTCCCTTCCCCTTCTCTCTCTCATTCTCTTTCTGTTTCATTCTCTCTCTCTCTCTCTCTCTCTATCTCTCTCTGTGTGTTGCTTGATCGCCAAGAAAGAGAAGCGAGCTTAGGGTTGTTCGGAGCCGCCTCCTCCGCCATGAGCAGGTTCGCCTCCTTCCACGAGAGGATCTACAGAGCCTTCCTCGACCGCCGTTCCCTCTCCAAGCTCCTCCTCGTCTCCACCGTCAGGTGCGTGAGTGTGCCAGCTCTCTCTCTCTCTCTCTCTCCGTCCTCCGTCGCCGCCCTGCCGCCGCGCTTCGGTCCGCCCGGCGTTTCCCTTTCAGCTCCCGACGTCACGCGAGCGCCCGCTACCTACGTCCGCAACGACGCTCGTTCCCGCTTGCTTTGCATGCTGCTCCCGGGGGAAAAAACTCGACGGCGATCGCGTTTTCGTTTTCTTCGGACCTCTCCGGCGTTCGGTTTTTTCCGTCGTCGAGATTTTTCTCGCGGGGAGAGAGAGAGAGAGAGAGAGAGAGAGAGAGAGGGAAGGGTCGCGTCTCGAGGGAAATGTAAGTGTTGGATCCTTGCGTTTTTTCCCTGCGCTACTCGAGCGAACTTGTCCATCGCGATGGCGGACGTATTAGGCGTCTCGCTTCGGTTGGCGAGGTCGGGGATTTCGCTGACGGATGCCTCGTGATGCTTGCGCTGGTTTTTGCTTATTGCTGTTTTTGCATGGTGATCAGAGTGATGGTTCTGCGAGATCTTCGGAACGTAAAAATGAGCTGCCAACTCAAGCTATTACAGCTTGCTGCTTGCAAACGGCTTCGTTCAGTTCTTCTGTTGTTATGTCGAAAAGGATTAGATAAGTTGTTAGTGCAGATTGAGCCGGGTTCGCAATCCCCCCCGTTCCGTGTTTGAAAATGTCGCTGTAACAGATAAAATCGACTTCTGGTTTAGTCTTCACATGTCAAGCTCTCTCTTCCTAAAATTAAAGCTCTTTTAGATCTCTAGATGTTGCTGATAATGCATGTAGCAGCACAATAATCTCTGTTATTTGATTGCAGTGGTGGGGGTATAGTAGCATTTTCCGATACGACTCCTTTCCGTGTGGCCTATGCCGATCCGGCGCAAGGTCAATGCCCCAAAAAGAAGGTGGTCGTGCTCGGAACTGGATGGGCTGCCACCAGCTTCCTGAAGAATTTGAAGAGTTCATCGTATGAAGTAGACGTAGTCTCGCCGCGTAATTATTTCGCGTTCACGCCCTTGTTACCGAGCGTCACAAATGGCACGGTGGAGGCGCGCAGTATTGTCGAACCGATCCGAAATATTGTTAACAAGGTAATTGTTCACAGATGGCTAATGAGCTATTAATGCAAATGTGTTGTTGCTCCTCGATCTTATTGCTCTTGAAAATCTGACTAGAAGTATTGAAGTGCTTTCGGAGATTTGGGACTGAATTATGAGCTTCTTCTTCTTTTCATTAGCCGGCACAAATTCTGTTGCTTCTACAGGATAGATATGTATGTTCAGATAAATTGGAGTATTCGATTGAGATGTTAATTTTGTGTCTAATGCAGAAAGGTCCCCATTGCGAATATAGAGAAGCTGAATGTTACAAGATTGATGCAGAAAAGAAGAAAGTTTACTGTCAATCTACTCAAGCTTCGAACCTAGGAGGGAAAGAAGAATTTGCAATAGATTATGACTATCTCATAATAGCTGTGGGAGCCCGTGCAAATACATTCAACACGCCTGGTGTCGAGGAGAATACCCATTTCTTGAAGGTATATATCACCAAGATAAGATGTTGATTTGGTCTGCTTTGTTATCAGATCAATGTGCTTCTCAATTGGATAGTGAGTTGAGTAAAAATATAAATATGCTGCTCTTCACTCAATTCCACTCCATATCATTCTGAGTAAGTATTAAGTAAAGCTGAGACGATTTTCTTTTACGCAGGAAATAGAAGATGCTCAGAAGATCCGTCGGACAGTGATTGACTGCTTTGAGAGAGCAAGCTTACCCAGCCTTAGTGAAGAAGAGAAGAAGAGGATTCTGCATTTTGTTGTCGTGGGTGGTGGTCCAACAGGTGTGGAATTTGCGGCAGAGCTTCATGACTTTGCGATTGAAGATCTTGCCCAGCTATATCCACAAGTCAAAAACCTTGTGAAGATTACACTTCTTGAAGCAGGAGATCATATTTTGAACATGTGAGGAGAATTATGTGATTAAAAGTTCATTTGTTTCTGTGTGTGGACTTTGTTTTTGTTTCTTAGGTTAGCAGCAAAATTTTTCGAGGCTCATGCTACGGTTTCCGCTGGTTTTTCTTTGATCGAGTGGAAATTATACTCCTGGTTTTGCTCATCTTGTTGATGGAGAAATTCAGCACTCTACAAAGTAGAAGCCTTCCGGTTTACCCTCTAACCAGCAGTGATCCTTTCAATTCTGCATTTTAAAAGCTAGCTTTTCTTCTATATTTGAATTGCTGAAACTAGCAAAGAGGGAGTTCTAAAGAGAAGGCATTAACATTATTACCTCTTTTGGTTTTTTTAGCAGTAACGTAACTGGTGATCAGTGGCTTAATTTGTTTTGCTTGAATGATCTACTAATATCTCACTCGACGAAGTTGGCTGCCTTTCATATGTAGTTAATGCTTCTAAACCTTACTCTTGTAGGTTTGACAAAAGAATCACTGCTTTCGCGGAACAGAAATTTCAAAGAGAGGACATCAATGTTAAGACAGGCTCCATGGTAGTCAAAGTGTCCGAGAAAGAAATTTCCACAAAGGAAAGAGGGACTGGTCATATTGTTTCTCTTCCTTATGGAATGGCTGTCTGGTCTACTGGTATCGGGACTCGGCCTTTCATTATGGAATTCATGAAGCAAATTGGGCAGGTTGGTTGCTTAGCATTTGATTTCTTCCTCCATCCACGGTTTCTTCTTGCTTGTAGACATCATCCTTTTGCCATTCGTGATTAGACTAACAGGCGTGCGATTGCCACTGATGAATGGCTGAGAGTTGATGGATGTGATAGGATATATGCTCTCGGTGACTGTGCGACGATCAATCAGCGGCGAGTCATGGTAAGAAATCTAGCTTTTGGTTCCTCCCCGTGGGGGTAAATTGATCAAATAATCTAGTTTTCTCTTGACTAAATATAAACAGGTTTTCTGCCGATTGAAAACTTATATTTGAGAGTTATTTAGTTGCTGACTTATTTCCATAACAACAGTATTATCACTGCGCAACTGTGGGATAAAGGAGTCTCTTGTGGTTGTAACTAACGAAGTTAATTAACTTCGCACAAGTCTGTCAACCGACCGGGGTACAGGTCTACCAGTCGTTCTTGTGGTTGTAACTAACGTAGTTAATTTACTCCTTAAAAGAAGGGGATCCTGATGCCTAGGTTAAACAATTCATATAAATATATTATAACAAAGTCTTCCTTTAAGTGTGTCACCTAGAATTGTAGATTGTTAGAATTGGATTTTTTTTATTAACAAAAAAAAAAGGTTTTGGTGCTTTTTCAAAGAAAATAGTGAAGGATATTTGCAATAATATATTGCCATCATCTTTCTCCTCTCTCTTCATCATTTTACTATAAATGTAGCTCATTTGTATTTAAGACATTTTTTAGTTTAACACAATAATATAATATAAAGTTCTTCCATGTTTGTTAGTAACAAAGGTTTCTATTGTTTATGTGCATTCTGGAAATAGTATGATAACTACGATATATAATATTTTATATTATGTTCGTGAAATTTTTCATTTTTATACTTATTAATTCTTTTGTATTTTGATAAACTTATTTTTTATGTATAGCTACCGATATGTTAAAACAATGTTGTTTTTATGCTAAACATATTCATACTTCATTTTAATTATACTTTTATATGACAATCCGCACAAGGGCGGGTAAAAATTTAGTTTTTGGTACTCACGGTCTGGAGTTCTTCTCATCACCTACATCTTGAATAATTTCTATTTTTATTGGCCATTTGGAACCTTTACTAGCAAGGAGACACGCTTTTGCTTCATTCACCTGTTCTTGTCAGCACTTAGTGCACAAAATTCTCGATCGACTGTCCATTACACTCAACTACTCGAGTTGGGAGATTTGATACCGAAAAACAGCATTCTCGTACTGAATGAGGTTATGCCAAACTGTTGTTGTAACGAGTTATGGTTTAGGAGTGTTCGAGTGGATTGAGCTCAAATATTTTCCGAATCCTAGTCAAATTGTTTCCAAGTTTGTACAGTTTTAAGACATTTTTCCCTCACCAGTTTTTACTTCACTAAGTACTCCTTTCTTTTCAGGAAGATATTGCGGCAATATTCAGTAAGGCAGATAAGTCTAAGACAGGTAAGCTGAGTATACAAGATGCAAAAGAAGTTGTTACGGACATCTGTGAACGGTATCCGCAAGTGGCACTATACTTGAAGAAGAAAAATATGAGGAACTTTGTTGATCTACTCAAGCATGCTGACAGCGAAACGCAAACTCTCCAGCTGGATATTGAACTGTTTAAGTTAGCCCTTTCTGAAGTGGATTCTCAGATGAAAAATCTTCCTGCAACAGCTCAAGTACAATTACTATCATCTCCTTTCTTCTTTCTGTCGTTCTTTTTTTATACTACTGACATCTACATGTGCTGTAAATGGCAAAGGTTGCTGCTCAACAAGGTGAATATCTTGCCGACTGTTTCAATCGCATGGATGAGTGCGAAAAGAATCCCGAAGGTCCTCTGAGGTTCAGGGAATCGGGACGTCATCGGTTTCATCCCTTCAGGTACAATAAGCTTCTCTTCCAGGAAAACAATTGCTTTAAGTTACAGTTATAGTAAAGAATGAACCACAACAGGTTAGATTATTTAAGTAGATCTTTCATAATCATGAATAGATCCATTGTTCTTATTGACACCATCTCCACCAAGCAATATGTTCTCTGGATGCACATACATACTGGATGGGATATGTATGTGGTTCTGTTGTTTCTCTTACCGCATGAAGCCTCCCATATGTAGTCTTTCTTCTCCCAATCAAACAAAAAAAGAGAAAAATCAGCCTTTTCTCGAGAAAGTACATCATTCGGTGCTAATACCGCATAAGGATCACCGCAGACAAACAAGTCGTAAAAAATCACGTTTTGATGAATTAATTTGCAAAAGAAACATGTTTGTGCGAAATAGATATCTTGGTGAGTGATAGTGCTGATGTGACATAACATTGACCGTTGCATGGTAGTACTTTTCTCCAACCCACGTATTAGAAGCAGACAGTGGAGTTATGTCGCTGTAATCATTCATGAAGGTACAAGCATTTCGGACAATTTGCACCCTTGGGAGGAGAACAAACTGCAGCTGAGCTACCAGGGGATTGGGTCTCGATTGGTCGCAGTACCCAGTGGCTCTGGTATTCAGTTTATGCAAGGTAAGTTTGCAATTTGCATATGCAATTGATTAACTGATTCTTAGTACACTCAATCCTCTGATGGTGTTGTGAAACTTAACAGCAAATTAGTCAGCTGGCGCACCAGAGTGCTGGTGGTCTCTGACTGGGGACGTCGATTCATTTTTGGCAGAGATTCGAGTCGAATTTAAGAAGAAAATTACGTCTAAAGAGATGTGTCATTACAATTTTTTCCACGTCATCTTAATTCACTTATACACAGTACACACAAGAAGAAGATTTTGTTTGTTTAATTTCAGTCTGTTCCTTTAGAAGATTTTGTTCATCTTTCTAGTGGTTGGAATTCTCTCTTTTTTCCCCCCTTCATTTGGCCAAAGCGGCCATTGGATTATTACATTGTAGCAGGGATGAATGATGCCACATTCTCTGACTGTTGCTTGTGCCATTTGAGCACTTCTTTCCACTTGCCAACTATGAAAATTTCCCGATCTTTCGGGAGCGCAATCTGTAAGAATTCTGTTTGGCAGGGATTTGAGCTATTTTTAAATTCATCTGCCTTCAAGGTGTCAAATCTTATTTGATTCTTGTGTAACACTCATAGTGCACTGGTATGGCATCTTATATTATTATCAAAGAAAGAGAAATGTAGATGGCTTGTGCTCGAAGGCGACTGCCATGAATTTTGGAGAATGGGAAGGGAGGGGATTGTAATTGAGGTCAGACAGAGGAGTTCGCTCGCTTTGTAAATGTGCAGTCTCTTCTCTGTGGTATGTGTGATGACATCAGACCGTTGAGCAAAAAGTCGGCAAACTGGAAACCTCGATCCAGAATAGAATGTGGGAGTTTTGGGATTATTAGCGGACTAACATCACTGGTCGTGGATATTGAACTTCCAGGAAAGTCTCGAGAGAAATTTAGGGACGTTAACCCTAAAAAGGAGTAAGGGTGTCAACAGCTCGGTTCGGTTTGAGCTCACCTATACCCAACCCAACCTGAACATGGAAGGCGACATGCTTCTTGTGACCCGATCCAAGGACCGATCCAAATAGAATTCGAACAGAAAACAAGCAATCAACTGGATGTCACAGTCTGTTGGTTCCACCTATATTGATACTATATTATTGGAATTTCGCACGAGTGACTAAAGATGTCACTCAAGCAGGTGGAACAGTAAACAAAGCACGGTCAATATCGTACTAGGCAAGTCCAAGAAAGTAAGGGGAGGAGGCAATAGGCGAATAGGGTGCTAAATCTTGATCAAAATCTTGACGCAATCCGACCGCTTCAGTATCTCATGAGCTCTTGGTACGTCTTCCAATTTCATCTCATGGGTCAGAAGTTCATCAAGTTGGATCTCCTGCGGAACCGAAAGAAAGCAAAGTTCAGTGGTTGTGCGCGTAAAGTCTGAACTGGAGGGACATGAAAAAGCTGATCAGAACCTTGTTTTTGGATTTGTGGAGGAGGAGGGGGAGGTGGGTCTTGCTTTTGAGGCCTCCAAAAACGGTTCCCTTCAATGTTCTGCCCATCAACAGGTCCAGGAGATTAATTTGCACCAAAGGTTTCAGCCCTGCACCCACTACTACTGCTTTGCCTTTCCCCTGACCACATCAAATATACAGTTAGGTGACTTGCGAGATGAAGTTTAGTTGTGTGTGAGTGCGCGTGCGCGTTATGGTTTTGTAGAGAATGTGATGATATGGATTCATCACCACTTTGGTGGCTTCTAGGGCCTGGTGGACCAAGTCAGATACTCCGGTGCACTCGAAGCAGTAGTCCACGCCGACTCCGCCCGTCAAGTCTTTCACCATCTCGGAGATGGATTTCAAATCCGCACTGTCGGAAGACTTGTGATCGTCTGGATTTATGAAATGAGTCATTCCGAAGGCTTCTCCCTTGTCCTTTTTCATCCCATTTTTGTCCACGCCGATTATGGTAGTCGCCCCTTGCTCTCTTGCTCCTCCTATGGCCTGCTCATGATCAAATCAAATGAACTATTGCCTTGCTTTCTCCCTCTATCTTTCTAATTGATCCTCTCAAAACAGCATTTATATAGGACACACGTAAGCTAGAAACGCAAACAATCAACCACATACCCCGAGTCCAACCGCACCGAGGCCGATCACAGCCACGGAGGAGCCACTTTCGACCTTGGAGTCCATCCAAGCGGCCCCAAACCCAGTGGAGAATCCGCACGACAAGAAGCTGGCATGCGGGAGAGCTACACCAGGGTCGACCTTCACAACATAATTGGCGTCGGAGACCGTGTACTCGGACCAGGTGGAGCAAGAGAGGAGGTGGTACAGGGTCTGGCCTCGGATAGACATTCTCGATGTGCCATCCGGCAACATGCCATTCAAAGAGAGCGGATACCGGAGGCACAAGTTTGTCCTCTCAGAGTGGCAGTTCTCACACTCTCTGCATTCTCCGATATATGCGGGAATAACCACATCTCCTTCCTTCAACTCTTCCACTTCCTCTCCAACACTCTCCACAATCCTGCCATGTTATGTTTGAAATCAACTGTACCTCATTGACATAACTAACATGGAAGAACCAGTGGGAACCAAATTAAGCAGCGGACCAGACTTGACATGGAGACACAACTTCGGGAGAGAGAGAGAGAGAGGGAGAGAGAAGACTTTACCCAACACCTTCATGGCCGAGAACTCGAGGGTAAAGCCGCTGCAACGCCAACAAAATCAGAGAAGAGTAAACAGTACTGCAGAAGAGAAGAGAGAACGATAGAGATAGAAGTGAAGGGACATGGAAAGGAGAACGAACAAAAGGGAAACCCTGCGAGCACAGGATATCGGAGTGGCAAATGCTGGCGAACAGCATCTTCATCCTCACTTCGCTCCCCTTGGGGGGATCCACCTGTATCTCCTCCACCCTCCACTCCTCCTCCGCTCCCCAGCACACCACCCCTCTGCATGTCATCACTTGCGAGCTGCTGCTCTTGCTCCCCATCTTCTCCTTCTCCTCTCTGTGTTATGTTCTGCCTTTTCTTCTTCCTTCTCTCACCACAAGCATCAACGTGCTGAACCTGGATGACTATATATAGACGTACAGATGATCACCTTCACCTTCACTTCTCTTCTTTTGATCAACGTTACTATATTATATGATATGCTGGTGAAATGGGCCTTTCATAGCACACGTCCTTGCGCTTCTCCCCCTAACGTTTTTTTTACTGCTCGCCAACGTGATTCACGATCAGACATGTGCGTACATTTTACATACCTAGAAGTAAATGCATGAAACACGTTCGAAATTCTCTCGCGGGCTACATCACCGATATGCAAATAATTCTCATGTTTGAATCGTCCGTCTAGCCTACTAATCTTTGGCTTTGCATCGTATCTAATTCAAGAGACTAGAAAAAAGTGTGACGAACCCGATGATTATTTATCTAAATTGGGATTCCTCATTTTAAAAGTACTACTAAGTAAATAAATAGTTAATGTAGGATAACCATTTTAAGCTTGGATGTATTAGTTTGTTGATCGATGGATTATTTAAAATACTACGATTCAAATAGAGTTTGAATAGTGAATAAAACGAGATTATCTCGAGCTTTAACTTAGCCATTCAAGAGATTGGTTAAAAGTGATATTTGAAGAACACGACTCTAAAATAATGAAATTTATATACTCTAAAAGGAAACAAAATTAAATTCATGAAGAAGCCAATAATTTTCAAAATCTTCTTTTCTAATCCTTTTACGATACATCTATATGCAAACATTGAATTTAAATTTTCAAGCGGCATTTTCTATTTTCAAATTGATAATGTTTTTTATTCGCTATTTCTTACCATCAATGATTACAACCCTAAATAATAGGTTTTTCAAAAAGTCCTAAACTTGTTGTACGACAGCCAATTTAGTCCTAAAATTTTTAATTGTGCCAATTTAGTCCTAAAGTTTTTGACAATTTGCCAATTCAGTCCTAAGCCTTTCAATTATGCCAATTTAGTCATAAACCTTTTGGGGATTTACCAATTTAGTCATTCCTGCTAATTTTGGCCGAAAATCACTCACATGGCGGTCCAGTCAGCGTCAGCCATTTTACGTGGCGCGGTAGAGCTAATGTGGATAATTTTTTTAAAAATTTTCAAATTTTAATTAATTTTTAATTTTTAATTTTTTATCTTTTTTTTTTCTTCCCAAGGCCACCAGGGCTGCCGGTCACTGGACAAGGGTCGGCAAAGGTCGATGGCCCTATGAAGAAAAAAAGAATAAACAAAAAGAAAAAATAGAAATCAAAAAATCATCCACGTTAGCGCTGGCCGCGCCATGCTAGCGCTAACTGGACCGCCGTGTCAGCGATTTTCGGCCAAAATTAGCCAGAAGGATTACGTTGATAATTCGTTAAAATGTTTAATACTAAATTGGCATAGTTAAAAGGTTTAGAACTGAATTGGCCGTCGTACAATAGGTTTAGGACTTTTTGGACAATTTTCATCTAGATAATATATATAGAAAATACATTTAAAAGTACATTATCAAGATATGCCCATACAAAATGCGGGCCACGTAACTACTCGGTGTTACGGAGCTGGGCAGACTCTTGTGCATCAAATACATGGTTTTCGAATTAAATTGTTGAAATGGACTAGGAGCAATCCTCCTATGCATGTGATAATTCCTCAGCCAAATATTTTTTGCCTCGAAAATAATCATTGCATCCGGGTGATTTTTGACTTTAGCATTCAACGGCTATCTTCAGCTTTTGCGGTTCAGTTAAGACTTTTAACGGTATTGAACACCTCAAATTTATAATGTCACGTCTCGAACCCTACGAGCACACAACATCCCACTATGGTCGTTATGATGCGACGTCCCAGGACTCGTTGCCGACCCTTTATTTCATCTTTCTTTTTTATTACGCATGCGGAAGCGATAACAACCAACACCCAGACAACCACAATAAGCAGGGATAGGTAGGAAAACGGTTCACATCATTCAACCAAAGCACCATTTTAATATTTACTTGATTAACCCCTGGGAACATACTTACAAGCCCACTTCGGGCGTTTCCACAAAAAGCTAGCAAAAAGAAAAAGGCTAGGGTTAATCTACTCTATCCAAAAAATCAGCTTCCAAGCCTAACCCTCAAGGACCAACCAAAATCTACGGTACTCCAAACCGCATAGGGAGCAACGACATACTAAGGTCTTGAAAAGGTTTAACAACAACAAATGAGACAAAATCTCAGCAAGTTAACGGCCTAAACCCCGCTTAGAAGACCAACTCGCCTCGGGGGTCCCTAATTAGGCAATAAAGTATCAACAGCAACATCATTAAACAACCACAGGCATCCTTACCTTGCCTTGGTACACCCGTTGATGAAATGAACATATCACATACTCGAAGCATTTAAAGAGATTTTCCATACATCAATGCATCACAGGCGCGCGTGTCTCGATTATAAGATAAAATTCACTTGGGCACGTCCCATACCATACCTAATAGTTTCTATCACATAATCAGGCATTATGCATCGTACGTATTCCAGTTATTACGCCTTCTCGGGGCCACTACACATCAAGCGATCTGCAGCAAGATGGCAGTCTTCCGGCATGACCGGGATCCGTCCCACCCCGTTGGGCATGGTTACGTCAAATGATTTACAGTAAGACGGCATTCCAATACGGCAACATCAAACGATCTACAGTAAGATGGTATCCCGTAAGGAGCATCGAATCCGCCATCAGGCCGCGATTCGACATCCGGAATATTGGCAATCCAGATAATCTCCAAGCATCTGATAAAATCGAGCGCGATCTGCAGCAGACCTCGATAAATCGGGCATCGTCAAGCGATCTACAGCAAGACGGCTTCGACGTGTAACCACACGAGCACACTAGCATTCCAACCAATTATTATCTTTTCAATTAGCCCATGCATCCATGAATAGTGCTCACACAATGCCGCATAACAAACCAAGTGGTCACACATGCAACCAATCAATCAATTCTTGCAAGCTTCGATGACAAACATGTTTATCAACCACAAAGCATCGCTATCATTTCTTGGCATAACAATAAAATAGTTTAATTCAAAAAATCTCGTAAGTTTTCCTTAGAAACCTCAGTTCAAAATAATTTGTCATATAATCAAATTAATACGACAATTCACGGCATAATCGCCACCATTCAAGCATAGAAATCATAATTTGAGATTAAAAATTTTCCGAAATAATAATAAATAAATTCGGAATTAATTATTTAATAATAATATATTAATATTTAAAATCCGAAAAATAATTTATTTAATAATAAAATAATATTTAATTCTGAAAATAATTTATTTTAAAAATAATAATGATAATATAATAATTGATAACTTATCAACAATTTAGCAATAACTTATCACTTGAATTGGAATAACCTATCACCCAAACAAACATAACTTATCGACAATCACCAATAGCCTATCACCGATTTCATCGATAACTGATCATTAAAATTATCGATAACCTATCAATTAAATATCGATATCCTATTACCACAATCAATGATAACTTATCAATCGACAATAACCTATCACCAAATCCCACATAACTAACCATAAACTTAGCTTAAACTTAAACTAAACTTCGCTAAGCAAGTTTAACATCATAAACGAGGGATTAGGGGTTAACTTACTTGTTGAACGACGGCGTTAACACGAGAACGATGGCGACGATACGGCCTCGCTCGTGGCGGCTCCGGTTTTGCCTTACGAGTGACGAACGGCGGCGATCCGGGCGTGGCGAAGGAGCAGCTGCTGTGGTGGCTGGTTGGGGCTGCTTGGGTCTGTTCCGGGTGTGGAACAGCAGCTGGTGGTGGTGGCTGGACAGTGGCGGTGAGCAGCTGCGGCGGCGAGGTGACGAACGGAGGGCGGACCGGCGGGCGACGGAGCTGGAAACTCAGCTGGAAAACAGCCGGCGACGGGCTGTTCTGGGGCAGCACGGGCGGTGCTGCACGGCTAGGGAGGAGCTGAGGTGGCGGTGGTTCGGTGGTGGGGTGGAGCGGCTCTTGGTGTGGCTGTTTCCGACGAGAAAGGGCTGGGCTGGCGGGCTAAAAATGAGGAGCAGAATAAGAAGCAAAAGCGAAGAGGAAGCAGCAACAGCAAGCAGAAGCAGAGGCAGCAGCAGCGAAGAAGCACAAGCAAAAGCAGTAGCAGCGAAGCAAGAGCAGAACCAGCAGCAGCGAAGCAAGAGCAGAAACAGCAGAAGCAAAGCAGGAGCAGAAGCCGAAGGAAAGAAGCAGAAGGGGAAGCACGAAGAAGCCAAGAAGAACACGAAAAGAAGAAGAAAAGGAAGAAGAGGAGTAGGTGGGGTAGTTGGTGAGTGGTCAGCAATGTGGCGGAAGTCAATGGGGGAAGGGGGAAGAGAGAGAGAGAGAGAGAGAGAGAGAGACAGGAGAGAGAAAAGAGAAAGTGGGGTCAATCATAATCCCACGTAAATATCTTTCAATTTTTCTTTTTTACTTTGTAATTTTCTTCAAATTTTATCCCTCAAATTACCATTTTATCCTCGGCTCGAATACCAATTGTGTGCCGACTAAACTTTATCGGGCCTTGGTGGTCGGCCTTTCCCGGGTGTGAGGCCCAACGGCTTTGCTCGACTCACTTTCGTTTCTCGTGTTAAATTTCCGATTCTTCGACCCTTTTCTACAATTGAAATTTTCTACGGAAAACTCGTAAAATTACGAGGCGACGTCCTATGGTTCGGGTGTGAAATCCTTGAGCATTCGACACCGAAAATCGGATTATAATTCTTGGCCGAAATCGATTAATCGCAGCTATAGTGCATCTCAAATTAGCGGGCGACTATTGGAAGTAAATTTTTCGATAGCTTTTCCCCTTTGGTAGAGCAATGAGGGGATCTATGCTGAGAGCCAGGGAAAACCAAGTCAGCTTACAGCAGGTATGCTATTCCACATGGGCGAACCTCTTGTTCAAGCCCTTCAGGAACTGCCTTTTAGCTGCAAAACTACCTGGAGATTTAGCTCAGAGCATAGAGACGCTCAGAGTGATCAGGATGATGTTATGCCCAACTGGCCGAGCTGCATTTCTTAGAGGATCATGCCAGGCTTTGAAGAAAGGGATTTTTAGAGAGGCATGGAAAGTGAGAGGATTTAGATTTCACAACTTTCCCTCTTATTCCAAACCGAAGGATTACATGGCCTTATATAGGCGTTGGGGAATACATGCTGGACGACGGTCCAGATAAGACAAAATACACTTAGAACGAGTACATTATTGGACTTCTGTCCACATAAAACAAAACTCACCTAAACTAAGTACATTATTTGGCACACCTACAACACACTCGTAGAACACTTATAGCCTATTCATAGGTGAAATAGGACCCGGCTATGATATGCTAGAATGATGCAGGTTAGGTGGAATAGTACAAGCTTATCTCCATCCAGAGTTATAGTCATAATCCGAGCTGTCTGAACTGTTTGCACGTTCGTATTCTGCTATCTGTCTCTGTGTCAGAATGTGTTCGAAATTATCTTCAGTGATGACTGGCGTTGGGTTCGAGGAAGAGGATGCATGTGTCGAAAGGTCTGGAAAAGCAGTATTTGGAGTGTTTTGTGGGAACAGGAGGTCATTCCACATTCTGATGCCAAGGCTTGGTTGTGGATTTGGTTCAGGTAAGACTGGTTCAGGTAAGACTGGCTGAGGCCAATTTCCTAGTTGTGTGTAGTGAGAGGAAGAGCTGGCATCAAGTCCAACGGATAAGGACAATGATCCATAGTCATAGGGGTCTTGAGAGAGTGGTCCACCCCATGGATCCTAAGATGACTGCACCGGATCTTGAGATGACTGTGCTGGATCTCCTATATCTGACATTTCGTGATCTTGTGATAATCCAAGCTGTGCCTGTGCTTGTTCGTGCTCGTATTCTTTGAGTGCTTGTCTTGTTGTAGAGGAAGATCCTTCGTGATCCCATGAGACGGGTGTGAAGTAATCCCATGCTTTTTCTGGAATAATGCGATTTTCTTGGCATAGGATCCTTTGGAGTTCCCTGTAATTATATTCAACAAAACCAATGCGACTGGAGAACGATTTATAGACACGTGCAACCTGGAGTTGTGACTGAGGCTTGTAGGTAGTAGTACCTACTGCGGCGGGAGTATTGGAAATGGTACCATTATTATGCACAAAAGTCCAAGGACGGTGGAAGAGTACAACAGTGTGTGTTTCTGGATCATCTCGGACTTTTTTCACTTTTTCGAGAAAGAGTCGTTTCCAATAAACAGGAGGGTAAAACCATTTGAGCACAGTTAAAAGGTTTTTCTCGTGTTCATTTAGTTGAACGTAATCAGCCAGAAGCAAGTTAGTCAATTGGAGAATAAATTTTCTGGTGGGAAACTCAATAGCTATTACGTACTTGTTGGTTAGATACCATAATAGCCATTTAAGTTTGTCAGGAAAATCATTTTTTCTCCAAAGTAATGGGTGGATGAAAGGATACCTCGAGTGTAATCCAGAAGAGTCAAGAATAGATCCCTCTATGGTGGCGAAAAAGGTCTGTGTGGCATTGCCACATGAGATTGTCAAGATTGTCAATGAGCTTATCCTTTTGAATTTGCTCAATTATTTCTTGAGGATATTCCAGGCTTGGCCAATCTCGGAACCGAACAATCTTGAACTTGTCTGCCCGGAACGGGAAGGAATGCCTGAGAATATACATGTTGATTTCTGCCGATGCTTTTAGTCTGGAGAGAAAGTCTGCAAGCACATTTTTCTTTCCTGCAATGTGTTTGGTTTCGAAAGAGTATTTCGAAAACCATTCAGCCCATCTAAGTAGCTGAGGATGAGGGATCTGCTTCTGCTTGAATTTGGTCATTTGGGGAAAAGAAGCCATAACTAGTTCTACTAGAAAATGGTGGCCAATAAGATGGAATTCAAACTTTTTTATTCCATTCTTTACTGCCAAAATTTCCTTGAAGGTAGAATGATAATGCATTTTTGCCTGAGAAAACTTGCCACTTTTGTAAGCGCAAAGATGTCGCTTACCATGAAGTTCTTCGAACAATATGGCCGCCTAATATTCATCACTGGCATCAGTCTGCAAGATTGTCTTGCCTGTGGATGGAATTTGCAGAGGGGGAAGATTTTGCATAATTTCTTTGAGTTCCGCGACTGCTTTAGTTTGTGCCTTTCCCCATGGCACTGGATGCTTTTTTAACATCAGTTGCAAAGGAATTAACAACCTTGCAATATTTGGAACAAAATCTCTAAGATAATTGATTATCCCGAGAAATTGTTGAACTTGCTGGGTTGTAAAATTCTTTTCAGGAAATTTAAGTAATTCCCTGGTAATGTGCGGTCCTGGATAATACGTACCTTTGTTAAGGTGCATGCCAAGAAATTCAACTTCTGTCTGGGCAATGGTCATCTTTTTCTGAGAAAACATGATGCCATGCTTTTTCACAATTTCTGCAAACTGCTCAAGAAGTCGACAGTGAGATTCTTCGTCTGGGCTGTAGAGCAATATGTCGTCAATATAGACAGCTGCACTGGATAGGATCGGCTGGAATATGCGACACATAGCCTTTTGGAATAAGGAAGGAGCAACCTTGAGACCAAATGGAAGAACTCGCCATTGAAAGTGTTGGTTGGGGATACAGAATCCCGTCTTTGGTCTGTCATTAGGATGAATGCCCAATTGCCATAATCCGACTTTGAGATCAAACTTTGAATAAATATGGGCTTTAGTGATTCCCGCAAAAAGGGAATTTCGAGAAGGCAAAGGGAATTTGTCATCTTGGAGGAAAAGATTAAGAGACTGGTAATTGATAACCAATCTCATTTTTCCTCGATTTTGCTCAGCACGTTTATTGACATAAAAAGCTTCACAAGCCCATTGAGAGTTTGAAGTTTCAATAAGGCCTTGTTGTAACAATTCTGAGCATTCTTTTTGAGCAAGAGCCAAATGCTCTGGATTCATTCCCGAATGACTTGCCTTTGTAGGATTTATATCCTCATTTTTCTTGAAGGGGAGTCGAACATAGAATTCTGAGTTTTTCCACAAAGGATGAGAACATTTTTGGGAGAATTCGAAATGATTTTCTGAGCATGATTCCAACAGTTTCTGCATGATTGGATCTAACAGGCTCATTTGAATGGAAAAGAGTCTTTGGATATTGACGAATTCAGAGAATTGGTCTTTATACCTAAGTCCTTTTCCAGGAATGATTCTCAAGTCTGGAAGTTGGGTCATGATATCCCACCCAATAATCAAGTCTTTATTAGGAAGACTAGATCCAAGAATTTTAGTGGTAATGGAACACTGAGGGAAAAACTGAATGGACACAGGTGTGGTGCGAACATTTGTAGAAAAAGTGTCTCCTGAAGCAGAGTTGAAATACCGAACACAGGAAGTCCAGTATTCTTCAGAGAGAACTTTAGTGTCTAAGATTGAAGCACTAGCACCAGTATCTATGAGGGCAATGACTGAAATTGGTTTGGCAAACTTTTAGAGATAGATTTTAACTGGGAAGTGGGGACAATGAAGTTGACTGGAATGTATACTGAGGTCCAGATTTTCTGGTTGGGATGATAAATGGAAAAGTTCTTTAGGTTCTGAGTCAGAGTCTGTTTCACTGGGGGTGAGATAATAAGAATGATGCAAAGTGTTTGGTCAGTGGGATTTTCATCGACAGAGAACAGGGATTCGATAT